AAATAAAGATGGGACAAACATATGAACATCCATGCTCAGGATAGAAGATCCCAAACCGTTGAAAAGGCCAATCGTCCCAGGATCAGCCCAGTCATCCCCATCAGGTTTTACCAATGACTTCACAGACTGGAAAAAACTTCTTTACGATTCATATGGAACCAAAAAGAGCCCCGCATTGCCAAGGGACAATCTAAAGCCAAAGAGGACAAGCTGGAGCTCCGCTACCTTGACTCAACTGTACTACAGGCTCAGTGACCAAACGGGCATGGTTACTGGTACCAAAACAGGGATAATAGGTACCATTGGAACAGCAAGAGAGCCCTAGAAATTAATTCCACACATTCTACAACCCATGTCATTGCAAACCTGGACAAAATTTTCAACAATTAGCGAAAGGTTTCCCTTTATAATAAATGGTGCTGGGGAAACTGGCTAGCATTGTTAGAAAGCTTTGAAACCGGGATCCCTTCTTTACCTTTATTTACAAAATGTAATTCAATATTGGGATTACAGGATTAATTGCTGCCTAAAACCATTTAAAAACCCCTAGAAGAAACTAGGGAATACCTTTCAGGACATAGGATTGGGCCGACTTCATGTTCTAACACCAAAAGCAACATGCACAAAAGCTCAAAAATTGCAAATGGATTCTCATTAACCTAAACAGTTTCGGCACCGCAAGGGACTACATTCAGATGAACGAACCTACAATGAAAAAATTTTGCATCTATTTTGCTGACAAAGGGCTATGTTTCCAGATTCTCCAATGAACTTAACAAACTTACAGAATAATTTCCATCAAAAGTGGCTAAGGAATGCGCATCCAAAAAGATCATTGCCACCAACACACTAGAACAAAATGCCTCATCACTGTGCAATCAGGAAATGGCAAAGCAACACTAGTGAGTTACGTTCTCACCCAGTTTGAATTGATGGACCATTAAAAACGTCAGGAAACAAGGTCCTGGAGAGATGTTGGAGAAAATAGGAACACTTGTTTTACACTGTTTGTAGGACTGTAAAACTTTTGTCAACCATTTTGTTGGAACCAGTTGGGCAATTCTCAAGGATTCTTAGATTTTAAACTACCATTGACCAGCATCCTATTTCTGGGGAATTATACCAAAGGATTAGAACCTTCATTGGCGTGCTTATTAAGCACATGCACCATATGTTTTATTCAGCATTTCACAATAGCAAAGACTGCATTCAACCCATATTGTCCATCATATTAGCTGGTAAAAAGTGGACGATAACACCAGGACTTGCAGCCATAAAAAAATAAGTGCTGCGGTAGCCAAGAAGCTGGAAACTCGTCTCGCAACGACGAGAAAAAACCAACACCGCAGCCCCAAGAGACAGAACCTGGACACAGAAGAACACACACACCGGCCTGGTGAGCTGAGCGGCGAGGGCCTGTTGTGGGGTGGGGGGAGTGGGGAGGGATAGCATTAGGAGATATACCTAATGTAAATGATGAGTTAATGGGTGCAGCACACCAACATGACACATATATACATATGTAACAAACCGCACGTTGTGCACATGTACCCTAGAACTTAAAGTATAATAAAAAAAAAAATTCAATGAGAGCATCTGGCACAGTAAACAGTTAATAAATGGTAGTTGCTATTATTTGATGATATGGGGCTACACCATACAAAACTGCCAGTTTATAGGTAAATATTGGTAATTTCACATGGTTCATTATTATTTATATTATTTGATGACTTTGAGGTAACTAACGATGTGAATGAAGCACATATGTGTGTTTATTTTTAAACTATCTAAAAGATTTATTTTAAGATAGATGGTAAAAATGAAAAGAATGTGGTACTGACTTGACATCAAGGTTAAGATAAAAGGGAAACTAAGGACTCTTTAAGAATAAATAATAATACACAACAGTTTGAGAGATAAGCCTGAGACGGAAGTCTAAGGTTCACCTGTAAATATACAATTATCCCTTGCTGAAGAAATACATATCCATGATGTATTTTCTCAGAATAGTACACATCTTAACAAATGATAAATAAATTTTTCACAATAATAAAGAGAAGACAAAGCCTGAATTCTCAATCCATGACACAAGGGTCATGGCAAATATATAAGAGTATAGAAATCACTGTCTAAAAGCTTCCTTCTTCACTTTGTGTCTAAACATATAGTCTCTTCTCTGTGGGGCAATATGGACTAGAGAATATTTGTGTAATTCCTTAAGAAAATGAATCCAAAGTAAAATACTGCGGCCAGTGCCATAAGTAATTGGTTAAAAAATAATTCCCAGATGCCTGGTGAGAAAAGGTGAAAGAAGGAACCAATGTTTTTGGTATAAAACATTAAAATATAATGGTTTTTAAAACCATTATAAAGCTAGAGAAAATGTGCTTTTGTGAATTTCACTTGTGATAAAGACAATATTTTTACCCAAAATGCCTTTTATTATACTACATTTTTTGCCTTGCAACATGTTTCTATTTTTACTTATTTGGTCTTGTTAGATAAATTAAGGATTTCAGGTGGTGAACTGAGGTACTTCTGCCACCAAAAGTAGAACAGCAAGGATTGGTGGAGCAGGCAAGCACAGGCAGCCTTGCACCAATATTCCCCATGAGCCTTATCAGTACCAAAATGGAAACAACTTATACCCCATATGGCTGGGCTTCTAAGAAAAGGAGAAAAAAGTGCTCTTTGCATAGTTAGCGAAATCTTGATAGATAGTGGTTGATATATGTGGAGAACAGCCACACAACTAAGTAGAGAATAAGGGACATAAAAAGACAAAAAACATGAGAAACAGTAATAAAAGAAATCTGAAAAATATACAGCCAACTGGATAAGATGATTTTTAGTTTAACAGAACGATGACTAATAGATCACAGAAAGATTTATTTAGTATAAAAGTGTATAATAGGCTGGGTGTGGTAGCGCACGCCTGTAATTCCAGCACTCTGGGAGGCCAAGATGCGCAGATCACTTGAGCCCAAGAGTTTAAGGCCAGCCTGGGAAACACTGGTGAAACCTCCATCTCTACAAAAACAGAAAAAGTAGCTGGGTGTAGTGGTGCATACCTGAAGTCCCAGTTACTCAGGAGGCCGTGGTGGGAGGATTCCTTGAGCCCGGGAGGCGAAGGTTGCAGTGAGTCAAGATTGGGCCACTGCACTCCAGGCTGGGCAACAAGGTAAGATCCTATCTCAAAAAAAAAAGTATACAATAGCCAGGCACAGTGGCTCCCATGCCCATAATCCCAACACTTTGGAAGGCTGAGGCAGGACAATTGCTTAAACCCAGGAGTTTGAGACCAGCCTGGGCAATATAGGGGACCCCATCTCTACAAAAAGTAAAAAAATTATTCGGGCATGGTGATACACACCTGTAGTCCCAGCTACTCAGGAGGCTTAAGTGGGAGAATCACTTCTGGTCAAGGCTGCAGTCAGCTGTGATCACGTCACTGCACTTAGCATGGGTGACACAGCAAGACCCCATTTCAAAAATAAAAATAAATAAAAATAGAAGTGCACAATGCCAGACACATAATTAGTTTTAATTAACTAATTCTGTACAGAAAGATTCTGAAGACTAGCACTGAATACCTTAATGGTTCCATTTTCGTCTCCAAATGCAATGTACTGAAGATGCGGACTTAAGCAACAGCAGCTAACTTGAGCTTCAGTCAGATAATCAATCTGACCTGTTTTTCCATTAATAAGCTAATGAAAAATGAGGCAAAATCAGTTATTAGGCTGTAAGAGCAGATTTTGTTCTTTAGAACAGAGGCTTCAATGAAAAATAAATAAATAAAACACAGAAAATAACCAACAAGAGTTCTCAGGGGAACAACAAAGCCATATCCTAGTCTCAGCAGCTGCATTTAGCACTTCACACTTTCATTTCATTCCACTTTGGTGGTTCAAATACATTTTCATAAAATAAAACGAGCATTACAAGGTTTAAAAAGCAGCTGCTGTGCCCACCACCTGAGACACATCTGTCTGATTTGTAATCCCACAGCCAGCTCCATACCCTGTTTTCCATTTCTTCACAAAGCCCACTTTTAATAGGGCTATCGTTTGTTAAAATATACTTTTCTGCTACATTTCAAAGCTGTTGGTCAAACAAGACTGAGACAGACATAAAAAGACAAATTAAAATGGGGCTGATATCCTCCAAATCACTCACAAAACAGTGTAAATTAAGATTCTTTCTCTTGGAGCGGGGGCAGTGAGGACAATGGAGAAGAACTCATAAGCATAATTTGCATAGCTGGATTTACAATGCTTAAACAAAGATTACCTAATTTCATAATCTGTACCAATGCTTAAATCCCATGAATTATGATGCTTTATCACTCATCTAAAACATGTGACCTGGGAAAATATCTCTGAATATTAAATCAATTGTCAGATACCTCTCTCTAACTTAGTGTCATAAACTAAAACTCTTCAATTATTTTTCAACATGAAATAAGCAGTCATTTTTGTTTCTGGTACAAAGATCACAGTCAATCAATCACAGGTAGCTTTTCCTTAACATTATTTTACCTAGCATGTTTTTATCTATTAGACATTCAAAATGAAAATTGAACTACGAAGAGCTGAACATCTTCCTTCTCTCAAAAATTAATTTCAAGAGCTCTCTCTTTAAGTAGAAACTAAAAAATGTTTTATTCACTTAAATGAAACTATTAAGTTTATCCTCTAAACTCTCCCACAACCACTGTCATACAATGATATCTTTATAGACAGATGACTTTTTAAGTCTCACAGTTACAACAGTCATTAAAGAAAGGTTGCACAAATTTAATAAAGGAAATACAAGCATGAGGACACTAAATTTGACAAAAAAACTGGAGTGGAAATATCCCAAGTGGAAGAATCAGCTTTCTAAAAAACAGTTAATGAGAAATTCACATTGAATTCCACATCCCAATTCACCCCAAAAGTACTGTGTATTAGGAGCTCCTAATCAGCATATTGAGGACAATAGTAAAATTTGTAAAATCAAAGCAAGCCATATTCAGCGGTGACTTACAGCTTGATTTTGACACCCACAGTAAACAAGAAGTTACCACATGCCAAGCGATTTACTCCCAGTATCTACTCCTGAATTTGGATTCTACTTTGACCCTGTAACTAGCTCAGAGACTGTAAGATGAAAAGGACCTTAAAAACTGAGGCTCAAAGCGGTAGCACACGCCTGTAGTCCCAGCTACTAAGGAGGCTGAGGCATGAGAATCTCTTGAACCCAGGAGGTGGAGGTTGCAGTGAGCCAAGATCGTGCCACTGCACCCCAGCCTAGGCAACAGAGAGAGACTATCTCAAAAGAAAAACAAAAGAAAGAAAATTAGCCCTTACTATGAAAGGGCTTCTGTCCTTCTCAATCCTATGTCTCAGGGAATCCTCAGGGCAAGGGAGAATGTCCCACCAGTTCACATAAAAGCCATGCCACCTCCTGCCCTTCTTATCTGGCTGCTTGCTCTTACCACCTCTCTTAGCCACAAGTCACAGTCACATGCTGTCAGCTCCACATGCTGACACCTTCAATGGTCCATACTCTGCTGTTCTACTTGGGCTGACCAATATATAGATAGCCTCTTGTGTTTGATCTTCCATGAGGTACCTGCTTTCTCTTGCTGCCACTATCTACACTATCACCACTTCCAAGACATCTCTGTCAATGCAATGACACCTTATTTAGCCACCAGCGCTCTTGAACTCCAGTGCTCCTTAGGGCATCTGCTCTTAGGGCATCTGTTACCACCACTCTGAGCTCCTGGAATGGTATATTCCTCTGCCAATGGATCTTTGGGACTCCTTTTCTCTTCAGCCAGTTGAGAAATGCCTTCCTCTCATGTGTCCCACTCTTTGTTGGGGGGTACAGGGAGAACAGGCTAGAGTAGTGCTGTTTGGATCCCTAAGCAATATAGTTCTTTCAATTTTACTACACAACCCTTTCCTCCTTAGGGGCAAAAATAAGCATTCAATAAATATCTACTTAACAAAGGTGTGTGTAAATGAATGAACAGGCGTACTTCAGTATGTAAAGCCCAGGTCCTTTCACCTCAGTTCCAATCACTCAGACTCCTTCCTCATCTAAAGTGACTTCTGTTCTTTCAAAGACCCTGGAATCCTTCCCTTTTAAAAATGCTTCTATATGCTCATCCCCCTTGCACACATGTCTGAATCACTCTTGTAGACAACACGAGTTTGTCCTCATGGTATTCTTAGACTCCACGCAAATCAAAGAATGTGATCATAGATACCAACAGAAGAGCAGTGAGATGAGGAATTATCTAATTTAATTCTAAATATAAGCATATCTGAGCCTCAGCTCGAGACCTACATATATTTATTTAACCAATGTCTACTGGACAACTGTTAGATATAAAATAATTATGTTTAATCCCAGGTCCAAAAACAAGAAAAACTGAATAGAAAATTCAACCAAAACAATTTTCCAATTGTTTTCTAAAAAATACTCACTTGCAGACGTCTTATATGGTCAACTGCAAGGACCATCACTTCATTTTCTTGAAACACAACATCTACTTCTTGCTTTAACATTATAGCAGAGTTCTTACATACTTTCTTTGTCTCCCAGAGCTGAGTTAGAGATAAAGAAATTATCATTCCATCTCTGAAATAACATGTCTTCATCTTAAAGTAAGAGACAAACTATAAAATACCTATGATGCTAGAAAGGTTTCAATATTAGATTACGATCCAAAAATAAATATTTATTAACACAATCTATAGTAAGATGCAGTCAGTATTAAGAGTTATGGGCTCCAGAGTCAAAATTCCTCAGTATGAATTCTAGTTCTACCTAAAGTTGTAACTTCAGGCAGGTTGCTTAACCCAGTGTTACTCAAAGATAAGGACCTCCTGCTAGTTCTCAAACTGTTTGATACCAATCCACAAGATAAGAAGTTTGGGCCAGACACAGTGGCTCACACCTGTAATCCCAGCACTTTGGGAGGCCAAGGCGGGTGGATCACTTGAGGTCAGGAGTTCAAGACCAGTCTGACCAACATGGTGAAATCCTGTTTCTACTAAAAATACAAAACTTGGCCGGGCGTGGTGGTGTGCACCTGTAGTCCCAGCTACTCAGGAGAATTGCTTGAACCTGGGAGGCAGAGGTTGCAGTGAGCCAAGATCGTGCCACTGCACTCCAGCCTGGGTGACAGAGTGAGACTCCATGACAAAAAAAAAAAGTTTGCACCAGAATGTAAATCAACTACATCACTAAACACACTGTAACTGTGCCTAGTGATGTAGCTTATTTCATTTCAAGAAGACTTTCTTGATGAAGAAAGCAGCGTGTTGATTTATATTCTGGCTCAAGCTCACGGAGACTGGCATGTTAAGTACCACTGACTTTTCTCAGTCCTTCTATGCCTGTTTTCTTATCTGCAAAAGGGACTATTGTGAGAATTAGTAAATTCATATGTATATATATATAGTACTTTGCATAACATCTTGAATATAGTAAGCACTGAATTAATTTTAGCTATAATTCATATATAACGCTGTATTTGGATGCCGTGGGGACCAGCCATGGTTCCTGGCCTCAAAGAGCTTATAATGTAAGATGTATCAATAAGCCAGAGAAGCAGTGGAGTGTTGGAAATAAGGGGTAAATCATATCTGTATTTAAATTCAAGTCAAAATTTGATAAGCACCACTAGAAAATGACATAGAATTAGGTGGCATTAAGAGAGACAGGCAATCCTGGCTAACATGGTGAAACCCTGTCTCTACTAAAAAATACAAAAAAACTAGCCGGGCGAGGTAGCGGGCGCCTGTAGTCCCAGCTACTCAGGAGGCTGAGGCAGGAGAATGGCGTAAACCCGGGAGGCAGAGCTTGCAGTGAGCCAAGATCCGGCCACTGCACTCCAGCTTGGGTGACAGAGCCAGACTCCACCTCAAAAAAAAAAAAAAGAGAGAGACAGGCATTCTCCCCAAATAGAGAAGGCTTGAGGGGACTTATAGAATGGTTAGGATTTCAACAAACAGAGATACAGGTAAGTAGGGCATTCCAAATACAAGAAACCACTTAAGGAAAAGCACAGAAGCAGGCAACTATGGATTGCTTGGGAAAATGTGAGCAGTCCAGTATTGGTTCCCTGTAGGAATAAACTGGAAGACAGACTGGAGCAGAATGAGGCCATACTGTAGAGAAGCTTAATGGCAGACACAGAAGTATATATTTACTTTGGTAAACAAGGGAGCCATTATCTATTTTTGAGCAAAAATGACATGACTATATTGTACATGAAAAAAAAGTATCTTAGAAGCTGCATGTAGAAAAGCAAGAAAGAATACTTGTGGCAGAGACTCATACAACAAGAGAAGTAACAGGTAACAAAGTCCTGAACTTGGGTAGCAGAAATAGAAAGGTAGAGATAATAATAGAAAATGAAAAGGTAGACTCTCTTAGAATCGGGAAGTAATTGGATGCAGGAATTCAAGGTAAAGAAAAGGGTCAAAAATTTTTCTGAGGAATCAAATGCAGTATTTCAAATTAACCAAAATACAGTTTAATCATTGAAGTTCCCACAGCACCTGGCCCATGGTAATCCTCATGAACATGTAGTGAATGAATGAGACTGTTACAGTCCATATAATAGCACTTTTCCAGGGTGAATAGGAGTATAGTACTAGTTTCCTATTTTGCTTACCTCAGTGCTACCCATCAATTTCTTGGTTTGTAAGAGGTTTAGCTCACTATCAGGAAATGTTCAAACTGAAAATCTCAATATTTCTCACCCTGATTGTCTGGTCATCAGAAGATGTCAAAAATGATGATCCATCAGGAGAAAACTTCACACCATGAACCCAACTTAAATGTCCTCTGCAATCAGCCACCTTTGAACACGAGTCTATATTCCACAACTACAGAATAAACACAGCATATAGGAAATCACATACATAGGTATTGTGAAGATAGCAAAAATATTGAAAATAGCAAGAATGAGCCAGCAATACCACTTCAATGAATAATTGCTCAAAAACACACTATCAAAACTACAAAATGTCTTATGAAGAAGATTATTTAGTGCATCATTATTTCTTATAGCAAAATACTAGGAAACTAAATACCCATCAATAGGGAACCAACTGAATAAACTACATTAATCACATAATGGCATATCATGCAGCCGTTAAAAAGAATGAGAAAAGCACCTTGATGACAACAAATCTCTAGGATATACTGTTAACAGAAAAAAAGCAAAGTGCAGAAGAGTCTATATACTATACAGTACTATCTTTTATTTGAGATGGAAAAATCTGTACAAGAACATATAGAAGGATACACATATGGATATATATATATATGCCTATAGATATCTGCTTATATATGCAAGAAATATTGGACAGTTAAACCAATAACAGAAAATAGTTACATATGCAGGGAAGGAGGGAGAGAGAGGCGAAGGGATAGGGATGAAAGCAAGACTTCTCTGAATATAACTCATTATAAAACTTTGACTTTGGAATCATGCAAATACTTTATCACTTAAAAAAAATCAATCCAAAAAATAATAGGATGAACATAAGCAGCTTCCATATTCAGATTCTTTTCCACTAATACTGTCATCTAACCTTCATTTCAACTGACTGTAAAACCTACAATAAATTAACACAGTAATTGTAACATGTCCACATTTCTCGTTATTCATGCTTATTACCATGTGTACCAGCAGTCTGGTATTTTGTCCTGGGTTCTGCTGTAAATTACTCTAATATATTCAAGTCTAATGAAGTACCATATGTGACTGAGTTCCTCTCATTACACTTTAAATTACAAAACCACTTTATCATTTCAGAACTAGCATGGACAAAACAAGTACCTCATCATAGGCCCAGTGACTGGTTTTCGTTCAGTGAGTTCTATGGTTATGAACTAATTGTATGAAATTTTCTCTGCCTTTTCTCTAGAGTCCAAGCTGGGACATAAAGAGCTAAAGGCCAAAAATAAAAGTGGTTCCACAACTGAAGATCTCTCTTAAGAAACTGAAAATCTCCCTTGAGAATCCTCCCCTCTCTTCCCGCTTTCTTCTCCCCATCTCTCTCCCATCATTTCTTTGTCACTCAGAGCCTCCAGAACTGAGTCCCTATATTTCAAGAGGGAGGATACTGTTTCATTGTTTCCTGGAGATTGCTAAGGACGGCAGAGGGTAAGGACTTTAGAAGTGACAGGAAAGGCTGAAAGAGGGGTTGCTACTTAGTACTGTTTCTAAAAATCCTAACAAACGCTCCACATTTACCTTGAGGATCTACACATAAGGTTCAAGATCTCCTAGGAGATCTAAAACCCAATAAACCCCAGCACTTTGGGAGGCTGAGGCAAGTGGGTCACTTGAGGTCAGGAGTTTGAGACCACCCTGGCCAACATGAAACCCCATCTCGACTAAAAATACAAAAACAATACAAAAAAAAAAATTAGCCAGGCGTGCTGGTGGGCACCTGTAATCCCAGCTACTTGGAAGGCTAAGGCAAGAGAATAGCTTGAACCCGGGAGGTGGAGGTTGCAGTGAGTCAAGATTACGACACTACACTCCTGCCTGGGTGACAGAGAGAGACTCTGTCTCAAAAACAAAATAACACAAAACACTTCCAATTCAAAGCCTCTGCCCAAGAAAACACTGCCCACAGCACCCCACTTCTTCCCGCTGCTTCGGACAGGACTAGAGCTTTTTCACACTCCCTGCCTCTGCGTACAATGGGAAGAGTCTCAGCAGAGAAGTTCTTCAGTGTCACATGCACTGCTGCACCAAGAATTAGGAGAAGCCTATGGAGCTCATGCCCTCACTCTCACCTGTGCCTCCATGTTGAAGGGCTACAGCTTAGCAACTCTCCCCCAACACCTTCACAGTAATAGGAAAGGCTGGCAAACTCACTAAAATTTGCTAAATAAGCAGAGAACATTGAAGAAGTGCTTGCAGTAGTCATGGCTCCCTTGATGAGGAGTCTGTGAACCAAGTGAACTTCCCTATTTTCCAAAAGGCCCATACCCATCTTCTTGGAACTGTGATCTCAAGGGGTTTCAAACTACCTGGTGGTAAAAACTAACCTGAGGAATGAAGAGTAAGAAAGCTTGGAAAAACTAATCTGTCTTTGGCCAGGCATGGTGAGACACCTGTAATCCCAGCATTTTGGGAGGCCAAAGCGGGAGTATTGCTTGAGGCCAAGAGTTCAAGACCAGCCTGGGCAACACAGTGAGAACCCCCATCTCCATTAAAAAAACAAAAAAAAAAAAGCAGTAATCCATCTTTGAAGGAAAAAAATAATTCACTACTTTATGAAAAAACTAATACAGCAATTCACTGGGTGGAATTCTTCCAGGGCCAGCTAGGTATACATTCTGAACAGAAAACTTAACAGGTAAGTACAAAATTATAAAAAAGTAATTTATATGAGTTATTTTATTCATTAGTCCCTGGCAATGAACATCCTATCTTATCCTACCCAATGATCTAAGAAATCTGAACTGGACTCATCTCTCACCACCTCTTTTAAGAAGAAAAGAGTCTGTGCCTATACTGTTTAAGAAATGCCACATATCTATACTGGATAAGAGATGTCATGTTTCATGACCAGAAGTCATTCCATTGTTTTCCCAGTTCCTGGCACGTTAGGCATTCAGCAAATGCTTGCTGAATTCCCTGTCATACTGTCAAATCAAGTCTGTAATCACTGTTAAAATAATAAAGCTGGCTATGTGGTTTAATATCCCAAAGTTAGAGGTCATTAGGCTATAAAGAAAATACTCTACAATTTCTCAAGCAAGGCTCCTCAGCAGTTAATGGTTTAAGCTGTCCATTCTCTGTCATCCTTTGATCTCTGGAAACCCAGGCTTCACAGAATAAATTCAACTACTCACCTCTACACAGTACTGGGACAAAGCAACCACTGCCAAATGGTTTTGCGGGGAGAAGTCACAGTACTGGATGGTGCTGTGATGGCCCGTGTGGATTTCTCCTAATAGGCCACTGGTATGAATGTCAAAAAGCTGTCAACATAAATAGAGATATCTATGAAGGTAAAATATTTTAAGAGAGAAGCTATTCTAATATCCTACCATTTCAAATATAAGTCCTGAAAAAATATAACAATTACTGATAACTGGCATAATTATTGACAGTCATAAACAAAATATGGATCAATATACATATACTTTTAAAATATTGCTCATCTTAAAACATATTTTTTTTTATTATACTTTAAGTTCTAGGGTACATGTGCACAACATGCAGGTTTGTTACATATGTATACATGTGCCATGTTGGTGTGCTGCACCCATCAACTCGTCAGCACCCATCAACTCGTCATTTACATCAGGTGTAACTCCCAATGCCATCCCTCCCCCGCCCCCTCCCCATAATAGGCCCCGGTGTGTGATGCTCCCCTTCCTGTGTCCAAGTGATCTCATTGTTCAATTCCCACCTATGAGTGAGAACATGCGGTGTTTGGTTTTCTGTTCTTGCAATAGTTTGCTGAGAATGATGGTTTCCAGCTGCATCCATGTCCACACCAAGGACATGAACTCATCCTTTTTTATGGCTGCATAGTATTCCATGGTGTATATGTGCCACATTTTCTTAATCCAGTCTGTCACTGATGGACATTTGGGTTGATTCCAAGTCTTTGCTATTGTGAATAGTGCGCAATAAACATATGTGTGTATGTGTCTTTATAGCAGCATGACTTATAATCCTTTGGGTATACACCCAGTAATAGGATGGCTGGGTCATATGGTATTTCTAGTTCTAGATCGTTGAGGAATCGCCATACTGTTTTCCACAATGGTTGAACTAGTTTACAATCCCACCAACAGTGTAAAAGTGTTCCTATTTCTCCACATCCTCTCCAGCACCTGTTGTTTCCTGACTTTTTAATGATTGCCATTCTAACTGGTGTGATATGGTATCTCATTGTGGTTTTGATTTGCATCTCTCTGATGGCCAGTGATGATGAGCATTTTTCAATGTGTCTGTTGGCTGTATGAATGTCTTCTTTTGAGAAATGTCTGTTCATATCCTTTGCCCACTTTTTGATGGGGTTGTTTGTTTTTATCTTGTAAATTTGTTTGAGTTCTTTGTAGGTTCTGGATATTAGCCCTTTGTCAGATGAATAGATTGCAAAAATTTTCTCCCATTCTGTAGGTTGTCTGTTCACTCTGATGGTAGTTTCTTTTGCTGTGCAGAAGCTGTTTAGTTTAATTAGATCTCATTTGTCAATTTTGGCTTTTGTTGCCATTGCTTTTGGTGTTTTAGACATGAAGTCCTTGTCCATACCTAAAAACATATTTTCTATAAAGGAAAATTCATCACAGATGAGCTCTCAAGCTAGCCTAAAGAGAAATAAAAGTTTTGTGAATAAAGAAGAGACTGGCCCAATTAACATACAGACTAGTTCTCCCTAATGCTTGTTTATTCAAAAGAGAAGATGAATACTCATAAATGAAAATAATCAAAATGATACAGGGCAGAGGTTTGCTAAAATAGAATTAGCTCAATCATTTCTATTTCTCTCTAGAACTACCACATTGCTCATTATAATTAATCATTTTCCTGTTTTTGAACCCCAAAAAGCTACTTTTGAGTAATCCAAGTTTCTTCAATTTTTTTTCTTTTTTTTTTTTTTTGAGACAGACTTCCGCTCTTGTTGCCCAGGCTGGAGTCCAATGGCGCGATCTCAGCTTGGCACGATCTCGGCTCACCACAACCTCCACCTCCTGAGTTCAAGCAATTCTCCTGCCTCAGCTTCCCAAGTAGCTGGGATTACAGGCATGTACCACCACGCCCAGCTAATTTTTTTATTTTTAGAAGAGACAGGGTGGCCCCATGTTGGTTAGGCTGGTCTCGAACTCCCGACCTCAGGTGATCCGCCCACCTTGGCCTCCCAAAGTGCTGGGATTACAGGTGTGAGTCACTGCGCCCAGCCACAGTTTCTTCAATTTTTAAGACTTATAAATGCTGAATATACTCTTCCAAAGTTTTTGCCAAATAAGATGATTTGTATTTACTACATGTATTGATACAGTATAGTGATTTAAGATTAAGACATAGACCTTAGAAAGAAACAAAAAAGCTTCCAGTGGGAGCTATTAAAATGTTTAGTGAATGCATAGTCCCTGCAAGCAAGCACATATGGTAGGCAGCATAGCGCTGGAGGCCAAAAACACAGGGCAGGAAATTAGATTTAAAATGCTTCCCAGGACAGGTCATTTTTTTAAAAATTAGTGACTGACAGTGATCGAGGAAACTTGGCAAATGTAGAATAGGCAGTTGTCCCAATTATGGAATAGTAAAAGAAAAAAGACCTAACAACAGGAGAAGACTCACACAGGAATTGGAAAGAAATAACAGGAGGAGGAAGGAGAGACCAAGGGTAAGAAATCGGGATCTACACGCAGTTAAGGAACACCTTTGGGTGGCTTTCTTTTAGCATGGTAAAACAGGGAACTGCTGTACAGATTTTTAAAACAAGGCATTTCATGTAATATAAAATTATTTTCCTCTCACTAGAATAGGTCTCTTAAAATCTTTTAAAAAGTTATCTTTTGTTCAACATCACTGGTAATTGGGAAAACACAAATCAAACCACAAGGAGAAACCACTTCACACCTACTAGGATGGCTATAATTTTAAAAATGAACAATAACAAGTTTTATCACGGATGTGGAGAAATTGAAACCCTCTAACATTGCTAGTGGAATGTAAAATGGTGCAGCTGCTGTGGAAAAATCCAGTGGTTTCTCAGAAAACTAAATAAAGAATTACCATATGACCCAGTAATTCCACTCCTAGGTATACACACAAGGCTCAAATAGATATTTGTACACCAATGTTGCAGCATTATTCAGAGCAGCCAAAAGGTGGAAACAACCCAAGTGTCCATCAACAGATGAATGGATGAACAAAATGTGATATATACATACAATGGAATATTATTCAGCCATAAGAGGAAATACTGTTCTGATACATGCTACAACATGAATGAACCTTGAAAACATGCTCAATGAAATAAGTCAGACACAAAAGGACTGATATTATATGATTCCACTTATATGAAATACCTAGGCAAATTCACAGATTACATTAGAGGTTACAAAGGTCTAGCAAGAGAGGGGAAAGAGGAGTTTTTACTTCATGGTTACAAAGTTTCTGTTTAGGGTGATGAAAAAGTTTTGGAAATATGTAGTGGTAATGGTTACACAGCATTGTGAATGTAATGCCACTGAAATGTACCTTTTCAGATGGTTAAAATGGCAAATTTTCCATTATATGCATTCTATCACAATAAAAAAAGTTTTACTCTCCAAGTCTTGCAAATGCAATGGTTCCTTTTTTGTTCTTATATATTTTAACTTAAAGGGAGATATTTTTCCTCTTAGTTTCCTGCTAAAGGGGTACAAACTTATAAGCAATCAACACCAAGGATTGCAGCACTAGATCAATAACAATCATATACATGATCCCTTATATAACCATATTCTATATTTCAATTATGCTCTTTAAAACAGTAATATCCCTCATTCAAGTCTTTTGAAATCACTATTAGATCAGAATGTAACTGAGCCATAAATCAGAAGATCTGGCTCTCCTAATCACAATGTAACTTTGGACAAATTATTTGGCTGCTCTGAACCTCAGCTGCCTCATTATTATCATAGGGCTACTGTAACCTGCTGCTTCTTGAATACTTACATCAAAAGAAATTATATGCTCTTTGAATACCACAAATATAAGCTACTGTTAGACATGGGGAAGAAAAGCAAAGCATTTTCTTATTTACTTTTTTCATATTTTCCTCAGTTACTTTATAAAAATTTCACAACCTTGTTCAGTCATTGATGAGCATTTCTATCAGAGTCATCAAATCATAAAATTGTAGGTGTAAGAAAGCACTTTGAAAAATCACCTAAACCAATGTAATTGAAATTGAAGAAAAAAAAGGAGTAATTCAGAAAGCATTCTATGTTTTAAATACATTTTAAATACATTTGAGGAACACTGGATTCGATGGCATAAATTATATAATAGGACTTCCTGGGGCCCTGAATATGTTAGTTCACACCGTGTGCTTAATAAGGGAAAGCAATACAAAACATATTTCCCAAATGGTGTAACCATGGAGACCTTTCCTCACAAGGCCATCCTTATCTCATGGAGCACAGTTCCAAAGAACCATGACAGGTTAGGAAGACTGCCCAAAATCACACAACTGATTTTATTTTTATCAATAAACATTGTAAAATGCAAAAATGAATAGAAATTTTAACTTTCTTTAAATCAGACTGAAGTTGGCTTTTTAAAGTACTTACAAAGATTTTATTTTTTGCTGCCACCATTATCCTTGCACCATCAGCAAACCATGAACAACACTTCACTATCACTTCCATATCCTCTTGAGGGTCCTCTGAATTTAGGAAGAACTGTTTCACATTAAAGCTTTTCCTCTCGTTTGCTGATGTCACATCCCAAAGCTTCGAATTAAAGTAATAAAAAAAGAAAAAGTTTGTTTTACTCTAAAATCACACCTCTAGAATTCTTTCTGAATTAAATGCTACATAAACTTATTCACTTCACTTGATGAATTATTTTTACCTATGCATGACTTTTTGTAAGGTTTTTAAATTAAGATCTCCAGTTTCATTATCATGTTCTTAAAAAGAAAAAATTAGAAGCACTGCCCAAAATGCAGAACATAAAATTAAATAAAAAGAATCTTGCATGGTGTGGGGGCTAAAAATTACATGTTGACAGTAAGGACACAAGTGGAAGAAAGGTGGTAAGATGAAGAGACTCACAACTTGCCACTGCTGCCCTCTGCTGTGCCAGGAATGAAGTGTGCTTCCCAAACCTACCACTAACAGCAGGAAGACTACACAGGACCCAGTCCAAGTTAGGTCGTGACCTAGCAGAGCATTCAGAGACATAAGGAAGTCTCTGAAAACAGGGACAAGCAAGACTCTTTGTGTGCTTGGCAGGGCTAGATAGGGCTATAAAACTAACTGGATCCTGAGGAATCAGATACAAAATACCATCAACTTTGCTCAGTAGTAGGACCACTTGAATAGAACAAAAGACAAAGGCCTTCAAGAAGATCCACCTCCACTCTTCTGGGCCATGAGCAGCATCTCGGCCTCACAGAGTGATAATGACTGCCCATGCCCAAACCAAAGGTTGGCCATGGAGAAGGATGGGGGTGCGGGGAGAAAGTTGCTTCTCAGACTTTAAGTCAGCTTCCAAAGCATAACTCCCAAGTAAAACCTAATTTGTCTGGCCAGGTACATTTTCAAATCTCTTGAGTAAAAAGAAGTATTATATATACTAAGAAACATGGCCAAAACTAAAACTTTTCCACTTGCAACAACTGCGGGTAATCTGGGTAATGCAGAAGAGACAGCAGGTGCTAAAACAGCCTTCCCTGATACTAAAGAGAAAATAATAATAATAATAAACATAAATGCCTGAACCTTCAGTTACATCATCCTGAATATACGAGAAATCAGTTTCCCTATTAATACGAAAATCAGGCTGGGTACAGTGGTTTACACTTGTAATCCCAGCACTTTGGGAAGCCAAGGTGGGAGGATCACTTGAGCCCAGGAGTTCAAGACCAGCCTGGGCAACACAGTGAGACCTCATCTGTTTTGTTTTGTTTTCCATTTAAAAAATTTTTTAAAAACAAAAAGAAAAGAAAAAGCAACTACTGCCCGAATTTTAAAAAGAAAAATAAAAGTAGCACAATTCAACTTGATTATACATGTCTAAACTGCATGTGTTTCTGGACCTGACTTTGGCTTCTATCAAGCAGTGATGAAATCCCACATATTGAGGGATCACATAAACTAATACCAGCATTTCATTCTGAGCAAGTCGCTGCACTGTATCCAGGGTCCCTGTGAACCCCATGCTTTTGCGTGGTTTAAACGGCAATTTTTAAATAGAACTCACATTTTAAAATAGTTCATCTCAGAGCCTGAAAAGCACATGCTTATCAACATGCTACCCTATAAAACGCTTAAAAAGTTATACAGCCATTTGGGGCAGGACATAATTTTACAGTTTTCATCCTCTCAAAAGGTAAAAGCTTTCAGGAGACTTTGACCTTGAAATGCTGTTATCTAACATCATTTTGCAGGACCTCTGCTTACTACCTGTCATTGTATCAGTGTGAACCAACCAATGATACTGACTTAACAGCACTGTGGGAAAGCCACCACAAACATGGGCAGTTCTCACCAAGAGTGCAGCAGTGTCTGTCCCCTGCTGCGAGCGCTCTGTGCGCCACAATCACATTTTGATACTCATACATGAATATGGAAATAAAAATCCCGTCCCTGTCAAATGACAACTTTTTAAAAAGTGTCCGAGTTTAAAGACGTCTTAGTTTGACTTCAAGTGACACAGTGAGGGTTTATCATCTTTAACACATGTATTAAACGCTATGCTAGTCACTGTTAGAGACTATATAAATGAATCAGATACAGATACTACCCTCAAGGAATTGACAGGCCAGTAAGGGAAGTAAGATAAGCACATAAATAACTTAAACACAAAATATGTCACGTGTCATTTGAAAGGAAAAGGTATAGCACAGTGGGAAGGCTGTATGCAAGCTGAGGGCTTGAGGGAACACTTTGTACAGGAGGTAGCCACCTCACTGTACTCCCTGAGATTAGCCTATCTTATACCAACTTAAGACAGAGAATGTCAACATCAAAAAGACAGGGGAACACTCCAGGGCCTAGAGCCTATTCCAAGTGATCAGCATAAGCTAAAGTACAAAATGAGAAAACAAAGACAATAAAGAAGAACAAGTTCAATCTGGTTGTAGCATCAGGTATGTGAACCCTTCCTCAACAGAGTCCTTATCTGCTCTCAGAGCACCGTCTTCATACTTTTATCATTTTCATGGTTCATCTATTCACTTACGTTCTCCCCAACTTGATTCTAAACAGTTCAGAGCATCCAGGAAGTATACTTTTTTCTTTTTTAGTGTTTAAAATCCAAATGCCTAGTACAGTATCTGGCACACACTAAGTATTCAATAAATACATTTTAAGTGAAAGACTGATTACTCCCGGGAGGGTACAGTGGCTCATTCCTGTAATCCTAGCACCTTGGGAGGCTGAGGCAAGCAGACCACTTGAGCCCAGGAATTCAAGACCAGCCTGGGCAACACGGTGAGACCCCATCTCCAAAAACAAACTAACAAAAAGACAGATCACTCCCAAGTTTCAAGCACAGGCAAGTACAGACAATAGTGTTGCTGAAAGAAATAGGGCGGTGGCTCAAGCCTGTAATCCTAGCACTTTGGGAGGCCGAGACGGGTGGATCACGAGGTCAGGAGATCGAGACCATCCTGACGAACACGGTGAAACCCCGTCTCTACTAAAAATACAAAAAACTAGCCGGGCGAGGTGGCGGGCGCCTGTAGTCCCAGCTACTCGGGAGGCTGAGGCCGGAGAATGGCGTGAACCCGGGAGGCGGAGCTTGCAGTGAGCTGAGATCCGGCCACTGCACTCCAGCCTGGGCGACAGAGCAAGACTCCGTCTCAAAAAAAAAAAAGAAAAGAAAAGAAAAGAAAAGAATTCAGGTGTTAAAGATGCAGACAGAACACATACAGCTCTGCTATGGTTTGGAGATGGTTTCTTTATCCTGACCCAGACTCGAAAATTTGATCCCCACTGTGGCAGTGTTGGGAAGTAGGGATTGATGGAAGGTGTCTGGGTCATGGGGGTGGATCCCTCATAAACAGATGAATGCCTTCTAATGCCTTCCCACTGGGGTGAGTTCTCTGGGAATGGATTAGTTCTCAAAAGTGCGGGTTGTTGAAAACAGTCTGGCTTTCTGGGTTTCGCTATCTTCAATCCTCTCTTTTAATATGATCTCTTTGCACACGCCCACTTCCCTTCCCCTTTCCACCATGAGTGGAAGCAGCCCAAGGCCCTCATCAGGTGCAGCTGCCCAATCCTGGAATTTCCAGCCATCAGAATCATGAGCCAAGTAAACCCCTTTTCTTTATAAATTATCCAGTCTCAGGTATTATGTTACAGAAAATAGAGAGCAGACAAAGACAATTTCCAAACTCTCCCAAAACTCAGGTAAACAATAGTAATGAGAATTTTTCTCTCTAGGCATAATCCACACAGCAAAGGAAAATGGAGAAAGAGACAGCAGCAACAAAATCACTAAGTCTAGAAAGCAGAAAGGCAAGTAATAGGCAGACTCCTAGAAATAAATTCTGAGCCTGCAGTGGGGAAATTCAAGCAGCTCAATAACCCCATATAACTCCGAAAAGACTCAGGAAGTGCTGGCACCCAGTACCTTCTGATAAAGGTGAAGCTAAGTCCTCCAAAAAGACTCAGGAAGTGCTGACACCCAGTACCTTCTGATAAAGGTGAAGCTAAGTCAAGAGGAATCTTTAAAAGTCCGTTGAAATCCCCTCCCTCCACTCTGCAACCCAGGGGCCTGTGTCCCTACTCTGGCAGAATACAAGGCTATTCTATACCCTACACAGTTGAGAGAAGGGTCACTTGAAAACAGAAAAATTAAGAGAAAGTCTATTTTCTAAATGTTGAGATCTCTGCCCAGATATCATCTCAGAACTGGCCAGAGTCATATCCTACAAATAGAAGACTAAAATTTCTACTAGCCAAGCATGGTGGTGCACACCTGTAGTCCCAGCTCCTCAGGAGGCTAAGGTGGGAGGATCACTTGAGCCTAGGAGGTTGAGGCTGCAGTGAGCTGCAGTCACACCACTGCACTCCAGCGCTCCAGCCTATGTGACAGAGTGAGATCCTGTCTCAAAAAAAAGGGGCGGAGTTGGGCACAGTGGCTCACACCTGTAATCCCAGCACTTTGGGAGGCCAAGGAAGGTGGATCACGAGGTCAGGAGTTCAAGACCAGCCTGGCCAACATGGTGAAACCCCATCTCTACTAAAAACACAAAAATGAGCCAGGTTTGGTGGTACGCGCCTGTAATCCCAGCTACTTGGGAGGTTGAGGCAGGAGAACTGCTTGAACCCAAAAGGGCAGAGGTTGCAGTGAGCCGAGATCGCAACACTGCACTCCAGCCTGGGCAACAGAGCAAGACTCTATCTTGGGAGGGGAGAAAAAAAAAGACAAGAAAAAGAAAAAAGAGAAAAGAAAATTTTTACTCTGGACACCCAACCAGTTCAAGACAAAAGATATAAAGACTTTGACATCACAAGTTCACCATCTTGCAGCAAGCCAAGATGGCACCACAGCACTCCAGCCTAGGCGACACACTAAGACTGTCTTAAAAAAAAAAAAAAAGGAGTTCATGATAAAAACAGATAAGCCAAGGAAAACTACAATTTAAAAGTTCACAATTCCCAGTCAACTTGTTGGTGATGTATTCTTAAATATCAGCCGATAGCAAAGGATCAGATAGCTAAGATATACCTATGTCTAAAATCCAAACAGAAACCAAAACCAACAAATAGAAAAATATCTATTACACAGGAATATGAAAACTTCAAAAAAAAAAAAAAACCCATTACTAATGCCCATAAAAAGATAAAAGATGCTGCATCCATGAAACAAGAACAGAATAATATTTAAAAGGAACTGATCACAAGAATGAATACTTAAAAATATGGTAGCAGAAATTTAAAACTCAATAAAAAGACAGAAAAATAAAGCTAAAGAAATCTTTCAAAAAGTAGGGCAAATGGACAAAAAGAAGGAAGGAGAGGAAAAAAATTTTTGATCCAGAAACACAAGTATTCCAGAAAGAGAAAATAGGAAGAAATCAAACAATTCAAGGAAATGCCAGAACTGAAGGATAAGTTTCCAAAGTGAAAGAAGCTACCATTCTGTAGGCAGTTTACTCTGTTGACAGTTTCTTTTGCTGTGCAAAAGCTTTCATTTAATTAGGTTCCACTTGTCAAAGTTTGTTTTTGTAGCAATTGCTTTTGAGGACTTGGCCAAAAATTATTTGCCAAGACTGATGTCAAGAAGGGTATTTCCTAGGTTTTCTTCTAGGATTTCAATAGCTTGAGGTCATATATTTAAATTTTTAATCTATCTTTAACTTTTATATGTGGTAAAAGGTAAGAGTCTAGTTTCATTCTTCTGATTATGGCTAGCCAGTTATCCCAGCACCATTTATTGAATAGAGAGTCCTGTCTCCCATTGCTTTTGTTGGCCTTGTTAAACTATGCATCCAACAAAGGTCTAATATCCAGAATTCATAAGGAACTTAAGCATATCAGCAAGTGAAAAACAGAGACATCTTTAGACATTATAATAAAGACACCTTAAAAATTTACTTCCCATAGATTCTTTCTTAGGAAGCTAGAGGAGATTCTCCACCAAGCTGAGAAAGTAAGCCAAGAAAGAGGACAAAAAAACCTAAAAAACAAGGGTTCCAATGTAAGAGAAAAGCAAAAGGAATCCCTAGGATGATGGTAAGGAAGATCTCGGGATGGCAGCCGGACTCTGGGAATAGTACTACCATTACCAATCAGAATGGAGCAAGACAGAACCTTCCAAAAATGTTGTTTCCAAGAAAAGACTTACAAAATGCCTGGTAAGTTTGAATCACTTAAGGAGCAAGTTAACAAGAGAGAGTTTGAAGATAAGCACATTTAAAGACTAAACAAATGAAAAAACTTACTAACCCCAGGGAAAACAGAAAGTTAATAAGACAGGAAAAAAAATTCATACTACATGACTCAATTGTGATTAGTTACAATGATGTAAAACCCTGAACACTGTTCTAATCAAAATCAATGTACAAAAATCAGTTAGCCACTCACAGTGGTTCATGCCTGTAAGCCCAGCACTTTGGGAGGCTGAGGCCAAAGGATCACTTGAGGCCAGGAGTTTGAGACCAGCCTGGCCAATACAGTAAGACCTTCTATATAAGAAAAAAAAAAAAAATCAGTAGCATTTCTGTACATCCATAACATTCAAGCTGAGAGCCAAATCAAGAACACAATCCCATTTACAGTAGCCACACACAAAAAAATAAAATACCCAGGAATACATCTAACCAAGGAAGTGAAAGATCTCTACAGGGAGAACTACAAAACATTGCTAAAAGAAATCATGCATGACCCAAACAAATGGAAAAATATTCCATGCTCGTGGACTGGAACAATCAATATCATTAACATGGCCATACTATCCAAAACAATCTATAGGTTCAACACTATTCCTATCAAACTAGCAACGTTATTTATCACAGATTTAGAAAAAAATATCTAAAATTCATTTAGAATCAAAAAGGGTCCAAATAACCAAAGCAATTCTAAGCAAAAAGAACGAAGCCAGAGGCATCACATTACCATACTTGAAACCGTATTACAAGGCTACAACAAGCAAAACAGCATGGTACTGGTAGAAAAACAGACACATAGACCAATGGAACAGGACAGGGAACCCAAAAATAAAGCCACACACCTACAACTATCTGAACTTTGAAGGGGTGGCCTGCCCCTCCATACCTGTGGACGTTTCTCCTGAGGCGGAACAAGAGACTTGAGAAAAGAAATGAGACACAGAGACAAAGTATAGAGAAAGAAAAAGTGGGCCCAGGGGACCGGCGCTCAGCTTACAGAGGACCCACGCTGGCACCGGGTCTCTGAGTTCCCTTAGTATTTATTGATAATTATCTTTACCATCTTAAAGATAAGGGAGTGGCAGGACAATAGGATCATTGTAGGGAGAAAATTAGCAGTAAGACATATGGATAAAGATCTCTGTGACATGAATAAGTTCAAAGGAGGGAGAGGTTGCAGTGAGCCGAGATCGTGCCATTATACTCCAGCCTTGGCAACAGAGTGAGACTCTGTCTCAAAAACAAAAACAAACAAACAAAAAACAGATCCTTTACAAACCTGACCCATAGATCTTGCTGTGGTTTAAATGTGTCCCCCAAAGTTCATGTGTTAAAAACTTAATCCCCGATGTAAATATTGAGAGATGGGACCTTCAAAAGTGGTTAGGTCACAAGGGTGCTACCCTCATGAATGGATTAATGCTATTATCTAGGTTCCTGATAAATGGGTAAGTTCAGCCCCCTCCTCACTCTCTCCCTTTCTGCTGGTGCCCTCCCCCCCAGAACTGTAAAAAATAAATCTCCAATCTTTATAAATTACTCACAATTTATAGAAGCACAACATAAATTATAGAAGCACAACATAAATTATAGAAGCACAAAATAAACTAAAGATCTCAAAATATTTTATGAACATATGCTTGAAACAAAATGTACACTTAAAATTTAAGAATTCAAATTACAAGAATAAAAATTCTACATTACAGAACTTTTTTTTTTTTTTTTTTTTGAGATGGAGTCTCACTCTGTCACCCAGGCTGGAGTGGAGTGGTGTGATCTCAGCTCACTGCAACCTCCATCTCCCGGGTTCAAGCAATTTTCTGCCTCAGCCTCCCAAGTAGCTGGGATTACAGGTGCTCGCCACCACACCCAGCTAATTTTTGTATTTTTAGTCTAGTTTCACCATCTTGGCCAGGCTGATCTTGAACTCCTGACCTTGTGATCCACCCACCTCAGCCTCCCAAAGTGCTGGGATTACAGGCGTGAGCCACCACACCCAGCCTACATTATAGAACTTTAAGCATTAGGTTATACACCATTCATAAACAATCGTTAGGATAAGCAATTACAGTTAAACTAAATATGCTCCTGGAAGTTGAAAGAAGCAGGCTCTTTCTGTAGAAATGTGAAAAAAACAGAAACCTATTTCTATAACCAAATCTTAAGACTTTCCATAAAATATAACCTATTTTAATAGTGTACAAAAGCATACCTTTAAGGTTCCATCAGCTGAGCAACTAGCCAAAAGATTATCATCTGGTGAAAATCTGCAGTGATTGACTGAATTTGTATGACCAAACATGGTATTTCGACATTCTGTTTGATTCAAATCCCAGAGCTATTTGTGAAAGAAAAAAATATAAATAAACAACTAGTATTGAGTGGGGAAACATCAGAAATCATGTGAAGTTCTTCCTTTTCTCTCATTTAAGTTTTTTGGTTACAGAATGATGTTTAACCCACAGTAACACAAACACATCAAACACAAAAGTATCAAACACAAAAATGAACTTGTGATTAACAAGCAATGGGGCAGCCTTTAGATCAACATGTAAATCTACTAAGGGACTCAAGGGCTCACCGAGGTTTTCAGGCTGAGTACTAAATAACTAACTAAACAACTACTACTTATTTTAATGGAGTGGTTTAGAATCATTATTATTTTACAGAGTTACAAAAAGCTACAGTAAGTAATATATAATATAAATTACCTCCATATTTTTTAATGTTAGGTTATCCAACCCTAAAAATGGTGGAGTAAGTCAAGTACCACCTCCAGGAAGCAATTAACCAAATCCAAAATGTGGCACATTCCATGGGACAAATGACTAAACTGCTCTAATAAATCAATGTTACAAGAAAGCAGGCAGAGGAGGCAGGGCGGCAGTGCCCTCAAGCTGTAATCCCAGCACTTTGGGAGGCCGAGACGGGTGGATCCACGAGGTCAGGAGATCGAGACCATCCTGGCTAACACGGTGAAACCCCGTCTCTACTAAAAAATAACAAAAAACTAGCCGGGCGAGGTGGCGGGCGCCTGTAGTCCCAGCTACTCGGGAGGCTGAGGCAGGAGAATGGCGGGAACCCGGGAGGCGGAGCTTGCAGTGAGCTGAGATCCGGTCACAGCAACTCCGCCTGGGCCAACAGAGCGAGACTCCGTCTCAAAAAAAAAAAAAAAAAAAAAAAAAAAGAAAGCAGGCAGAGGAAAAAAGGAACTTTAATAGAATAAAAGAGACTTAAGAGGCAAAGCAAATGCTACATGAAGTTTGTTTGGATTCTGATTCCAATAAACATGACAGAAATGCATGTTTTGAGAATATGGAATAAGTGAACATGAACTAGGTATATTACAAAACTGTATTTTATTATGTTAGGTATGATAATAGTATGGTATGATAATAAACATAATATTTATATTAAAGATCTCTGAGATGCATGCTTAAGTATTTTGGGTGAAATGACATATTTAGGATTTGCTGTAAAATCCTCTATGCAGGCTGGACATGGTGGCTCACCCCTGTAATCCCAGCACTTTGGGAGGCTGAGGTGGGCGGATCACCTGAGGTCAGGAGTTCAAGACCAGCCTGACCAACACAGCAAAACCCCATCTCTACTAAAAATACAAAAAATTAGCTGGGAGTGGTGGCCCACACCTGTAATCCCAGCTACTCGGGAGGCTGAGGCATAAGAATTGCTTGAACCCAGGAGGCAGAGGTTGCAATTAGCCGAGATCGCTCCACTGCACTCCAGCCTGGGTGATAGAGAGAGACTCTATTCAAAAAAGTGGAGGAGTTTATAAGCTGTGTATGGTGGCTCACACCTGTAATCCCAGCACTTTGGGAAGCTGAGGCAGGTGGATCACAAGATCAGGAGATCGAGACCATCCTGGCCAACATGATGAAACCCCATCTCTATTAAAATACAAAAAATTAGCTGGGCATGGTGGTACGGCCCCTGTAGTCCCAGCTACTTAGGAGGCTGAGGCAGGGGAATCACTTGAACCCAGGAGGCAGAGATTGCAGTAGGCCGAGATCATGCCACTGCACTCCAGCCTAGCAACAGAGCAAGATGCCATCTAAAAAAGAAGGGGGGGGGGCGGTATTTATAAAATAAGATTGACAAAATATTAATCACTGTTGAAACTAAATGATGGATACCACAGGGGTTTATATTATGTTTCCTCCCTTTAGGTAGGTTTGGAAATTATAAAAAATGCAAATAAAAGGAATTATAGTCATATCTGGTGATTTATGCTAGTAAGATTAAACCCAGAAGAAGAAATCAATTATTCCCAGATGTTAATTTTGGCAAAAATTATTTGGAAATGATTAGTAAGTGAGATACATCCTGTTCCTCATGTCCATTTCTATCCTTGGCTCCTTTATCCCAGTCCTAGATAAACTCAGTTCTTCAGATAAGGCAAGTTACATGAAGGCAGCTTCAGAATTACATATTTTCACTGGCTTTTCTCTGCTCAAGAATCACAAGAAATACATCCTAATAGTCCTTATGGTAATACAGGTAGTATGGCACATCTTAAAGTAAACCTTGTCCTTAATTAAAACGGTTTACTAACCAATAACCCCCTCCCACATGGCAGAGGTTTTTTCCCTATATTGAAAAGGAAATATGGACTTCCTCAACCTACAAAATGCCAAAAGCAACATCAAAAATTAGTCATAAATAGTATAACAGTCTTAGTTTTTTTAGCAGTACATTTATTCAAATAGGGCCAAGTTTTTTTTAGTAAAAGTGAACTATAACTGTGATATAATTTTATGTTACTACATTACTCTGTAATTTTGGTCCAATCCAATGTTTTCAAATTGTGCTCTGCAGGGTCCTTGGGATTCTATAAACATAAATATGCCTAAAGAGGCTGGGCGCGGTGGCTCACGCCTGTAATCCCAGCACTTTGGGAGGCCGAGGCGGGCGGATCACAAGTTCAGGAGATCGAGACCACGGTGAAACCCTGTCTCTACTAAAAATACAAAAAATTAGCTGGGTGCGGTGGCGGGCGCCTGTAGTCCCGGCTACTCAGGAGGCTGAGGCAGGAGAATAGCGTGAACCCAGGAGGCAGAGCTTGCAGTGAGCCGAGATGGCGCCACTGCACTCCAGCCTGGGCAACGGAGCGAGACTCCGTTTCAAAAAAAAATGCCTAAAGAGCACTATGTGGTGGGGAGGGTTAGAGATGAAAGGGAATGAGAGAGAATGAGAAAGGAAGGAGAGGGAGGAGGAAGGAGGAGGAGAAGAAAGAAGAGAGGGAGGAGGAGAGAAAAGAAAGGTAGAGAGGGTGACAGGGAGGGAAAGGGATAAAGGGAGAGAGAGACAGAGGAGAGGGAAAAAGGGAGGAAGAGAGAGTCAAGGAGAAATGCAGGTCCCATTCAGCCAGAGCAACAAGCTTTATACACACTGAGCTTCTGTGTAATTTTTTCTTCTGAAAAATAAATAAATAAATAAAAATTTAGCTTCCTGAACAGGAGGATGGAGAGGGCAATTTTCAGTAACTGTTTCAGGACTTTCTAAAGATAATTTTTCTAATAGTTTATTTAAATGTCAAAACATAGAGTCTATGAAGTTTTCCAAACTGAAATGTCTTTTACTACCTCTCTCAAAAATATCATGTTCAATTGCAAAGACGGTATGACATCAAGGAAGAAAGGTTTGAAAACAATTCAAAAAAAGTTAGCAGATCTTTCTGGGATCCCGGAAAAGGTAATCTAGCTATCTTTATCCACTTAAGAGGAAAAAAAGATACAATCAAACATTATCAAGCATATGTGGAATAAATTTCTATTTTTGGTTTTCATTTGTGTTATCTTTCCTACCAGCACCTTTTCCCTCCTCTCTGCGATAACAGAACCTCTCTTTTGAATTAAGCTCCACTTATGATTCAAGTAGAGCTGACCTCACTCATTTGTCCCACTTCCATATAACTAAACTTGTGACCCTTGGACAATCCAAGGGTTTCATCCTACTGTCCACTGGGGTTACCCTAGCGACAAGCATGTAAGCCAAACTGAGTCAAATAAAGTCTCTCTAAAATTAGATCTACGGGTTCTAGGAAAGAGCACATTTCTCTTACTCTGTGATTGTGAGCTATAAGGTAGCCACATTTTTTGTCACATAAAAAGCATGCCTGAACCAACACAAGGGAAGGCAAGAGTCTGGAGATGGAAAGGGAGGTAGAGCCTGAAAATACAGTTTAAGCATTTGGAGTCAGCTATGCCTGAAGCCATGCTATGCTCCCTCTAGACTTTTCAGTTATATGAGCCAATAAAATATTTTTAAACTATTTTTTTTTGCTTCAGCTAATATATTATTGTAGTTTCTATCACTGTGACCAGAAAGTCCTAATAGTAAGATACATAAGAAGATCAAAGGAGATACTCTGATGTACCTATCAAATTTATCTACATAATTCTCAATATCCACACTTACTTTGAGGAAGCAGTCACTTGACCCAGTGGCTAAGAGAAGATGATGACTACTGTTGGTGAAATGGCAGCAATTGACTTGCTCTGAGTGCTCATCATAAGTGTGTACTAGTTCCCCGGTCACAGAATTCCAAATCTAAAGAGAAAAGAGAAAAAATTTACAAATACCCATTATTTTCAAAGGGAGAACAGAGGGGCAAAGCAATGTCCATTGCTTTGCAAATGCTATCTTATCCTGTCATAGCAGATTTTCCTAGTTGGACAAGATGCTAATGAAACCTCTCCCCTTTCTAAAATATGGCAATATTTTGCCCCAATGTTTAAAAAAATTATTTGCAAAAATACATATATGTACTTATAGCATAACTGGAGTGTCACAAACACATGACATTTCTTAAGGGCAAGATTTCACATGTTTGTATGAATGACAGCAGGCAGAGAAGTGCTTTAAAGAGGTTGGCATAACAGACTTGTGATCAGAAGGGTTGAGCCCAAGAGCTGGCTCTACCACTTATGACGTGTGTCACAAATCCCTAACTTACCTGCATCTCAGTTCCCTCTTCTGTAAAATGGGGATATTTACTACCTCTCCTACACAATTTAATATATCAAATGAGATAATGAACATGACAAGTGTTCCATGGACTTCAAGGTACCATATAAATAAGTAAAGGCAGACTGCTTAGCAAAAAAAAATAAAGGTTTTATAGTCTGAGAGAAATCCAGCTTTCAACCCTGTTACTGCTCCCAGTTAATGTAAGCTTGCTTGCGCAAGAGACTTCATCTCTGAATCTGTGTCCTCTTCTGTAAATGGGATCAACACTTACCTTGCAAGCTGTAGCAGGAAATTGATAATGTGTAATAAGGTGTGTAGTATAAAGACTCTTATAGTGTTCAATTTTCAGTAAAAACTAATCATCATTCTAGCTACTATGTAAGACAACTAAGCAGCCTATGCCATATAACAACAAACAAAAGAAATAAATTACCTAATGAACTTTCACTGGGATTTTGACTTTTTAGAGGTACTAATGTCCTTTTTGCATTTCCTTTGTATCTTATCAAAGCACTGATTAGAATCCCCAGAGGTCCAGAGACTTTATCTTCAAGTTCTTTAATAGGTATTTCTGCCTCTGGCTTAGAAAATAGAAACTCATTATTATTTCCTTTTACTCCATGTAGCTCTGACTTTGGAACTGCCCTCAGTGGCCACCTCCAAGTCTGACTCAGAGTCAGAGTAGAGGCTACAGAGTGAATTAACTGTTGGTTATAAAGTCACGAGTCCAATCTATCAAGAGGTAGATTTTTCCAAGGTCTCAAATTTAGTCTGGACATTCCACAGCCCTCTTCAAGGAGGTGAAAACTTCAGGAAAACACCCAAGGCAAATTTCTTGCCCACTCCACCTAGCCAGATCCAGTACTCCAGATTCAACTCCTTTGAGAAAGTGTTAAAGTAAGGTCTCTCTTCCATATATCAGTGATAACACCCACAAGCCTTCAGTTTCTCTTGAATTCTATATTAGTATAAATGCTCCAGCTAAAAGCCAAATTTGGGAACAAGAGAATACTTAACGAAGATAAAAATTACTCTCTGGTGGGGCACGGTGGCTCATGCCTGTAATCTCAGCACTTTGGGAGTCAAAGGCAAGGCGGATCACTTGAGGCCAGAAGTTCAATACCAGCCTGGCCAACATGGCAAAACTCTGTCTCTACCAAAACTACAAAAATTAGCCGGGCATGGTGGTGCACACCTGGTGATCTCAGCTACTCAAGAGGCTGAGGCATAAGAATCAATTGAATCCTGGAGGCGGTGATTGCAGTGAGCTGAGATTGCACCACTGCACTCCAGTCTGGGTGTCAGAGCAAGACTCTGCCTCAAAATAAATAAATAAAAATTACTCTGTTTACTTTTCTCTATTTATTTTTTAGACCAGTAACATATTCTTAGTTTGTTCATCCATCTGGTTTTCCACTGAATTTATAAGCCAGTTCATAAAGGTACACAAAAAAAATTGGGGCTGCATTTTAAAATTGTATCTTACAACAGGAATCCCTAAGTTTATGCAGCAACACTCCTAATCACAATGCACTCAAAGATTTCAACCGATATTTAACCCATGGACTTGTCTATTAATGGCAGACAAACTCATTAATTTGTCATTGATTTTCCCCACTGCCTGTTTAATCCTGAAGCTGATCAACCTAGGCATTTTTGCTCATGTTTAAAAATAAATAATTTTCAGGTCAGGCACAGTGGCTCATAATTATAATCCTAACACTTTGGAAGGCTGTGGCAGGAGGATCACCTGAGCCCAGGAATTGTAGTTTACGGTGAGCTACGATCATACTACTACCCTCCAGCCTGGGCAACAGAGCAAAATCCTGTCTCTTTAAAAAAGGTAAAGAATTTTCAGATACTGTTAACTTACAACGGATCAAGTTAGTAGATCAGCAGGTGATAGTGCTTTAACTCTAACTCTGGTCTCATGATTATAGAAAGATAAAATGAATTCTGTTGTGATTACAACTCAAGAGGAAAAGATTTTCCTACCTTCACTTTTTTATCCACTGAGCAGGTTGCTATAAATCTGTCATCTGTAGAGAATGCACAACAAAGCACTTCATCCTCATGAGCTTTGATTTCTAAAAGTTTCTCTCCTGTTTCAGCTTTGAACACCTGCACAAGTAACAATAAAATATTTTTATAATAAACTGCTTAACCATAGGTCATCATTCAATAAAAATCTTTAAGTGAGTTTAATCATTGTCATTTTGCAAAACAGAAAGGAACCTTGGCAAAGCTACTCCCAAAATCAGAATTTCTGCCAGAATGTGTATGCGTTAATGTAAATAGAGAACTATTCACTATTAAATGTTTCTAAATATCAATGAAAATGTTACAGGATCTTTGCAGTGTTGTTTTTCTGGCCAGAAACTTCTGTGGCTGGTGGCGCCTTTGCCTGAGTTTTGCTTGGGCCCACTGGTCTTGTTTCACCCACTTGGCCTGACAGGCTGCGTTCAGATCATGCTACCAGCCTGGGTCCCAAGCCTGCCAAGGGCGAATCAGGTATGGAAAGGCAAGGCGTGTGTGAGTGAGCATGGGGTCCAGCCACTGCGCACAGACGTGCTGACTGCTGCAGTGGGGCAGGCAGCTCCAGGTGCCAGCATGGGCGCTGGCTCTCTGTGAGGCTGTGGCTGGACCAGGCACACCACAAGCAGCTTACACGGCTGGCACCAGGGAACACGGTGGTACCCAGAAGCTTGGAGATGCCAGGAACCGCAGGACCCCAAAGAGGGAGTCACAGCCCTAGCTTGGGGAGCTCCCAAGTCTGGGCTCCCCAAAGGGCCTCAGCTCTTCTTTCCTTCTCTCCACTCGCAATGTGGCAAGCAAGGGGCATGTCTCAGCCATGTTTGTATTACAGCTCTTTTAGCCTCACCATCTGGGGGGGTCCCAAGTTCTTGTCCTACAACCAGGAAGAATGTGGTACGCTGACAGGTGGAGGGTGAGCAAGACAAACAGGAGCTTTATTGAACGAAAGAACAGCTCAATAAACCTGCGGGGGGCAGCTCCTTTCCACAGTTCAGGAGAGGGTAGGCAAGTCCTGCTGACAACTGTTCAGCTATCAGCAGAGAGCGTAGCTCCTCTCAGCAGCTGGTCCTCCTGTCATCTGCACAGCTCTCAGCAAAGAGGGGGCGCTAGAGTGGGTTGCTCCTCTCTGCAGCTGGTCGTCCCAGTGTCTGCTCAGCTCTGGCTAAGCCCGGGGCTTTTATGGGCTTCGGAGGGGAGAAAGTACGTGCCAACTGGTCCATGGGCAGACATGGGCAAGCCTGGAAAAGGTACTATAAGTTCCCACTCCAGTCCATTCAGTTCACACCAGCAGCCCAGCCCCCAGCCTTCAGGCCCTTTGCGGCCTGAAGGTGAGGCCTCATTGGGGACCCACCCCCTTCCGCCCAGGAACCTGTCTGCCTCCTGCTGCCATTCATGGCACCCAGGCTGTAGGTGCCAAGGGGAGCCTGCAGGCCAGCATCAAACTGCCCTCAGCACCCCCTCAGCTTCCCTCCTATGCTCACCGGCGCCCAAAATCCGGAGGGGGCTGAGGCAGCAGGGGGCTGGCATGTCAGCACTGCCCCAAGCATGTGCACATCTGGCAGGGCTGCAACAGCACCCAGGCTCAGCCCAGCCCCAGCTTTGCTCTGAGATCAGAGTGGGTGCCAACAGCAGGGAGAAGTCAGGCAGCGGGAGCAGGTACTTCCAAGCCTGCAAGGACAGGGGTCCTTCCAGGGCCCCCAAGAGTACAGGGATGCCTCAGTCTGCAGCCACAGCTTGGGCAGCTACAGCTGCACCAGGGGGAAGGGCTCTTGCCTGCTCTGTGGAGCCAGAGGCCTAAGCCTGCAGCTGTGGTTTGGGCGGCTGCAGCTACACCCAGGAGGGCAGGGCTCTGGCCTGCTCTGTGAAGGAGGTTTCCAGATCCACAGCTGTGGCTTGGGCGGCTACAGCAGCACCCAGGAGCTCCTGCCCCAATTCAAAAGGGGTGGGGCTCCTGGAGCATGCAGCCCCAGCTGCGACTCCCTGCTGCAGCCAACATTATGGCAGCAGCCACTTCAGGCTGCCCCCTGCTGCCATCAAAAAGAAGTGTCAGAGCATAGCTTCAGTTCTTGAGACTACTTTGGCAATTTCTTAACAATCAAATAAAACATTTCGTTTAATATGTATTCTCTCTGGAACTCAAAAGCCAAAATTAATAAAATTACTAATAAAGTACACATATAGACATAAGATATGGAGTCATAATCTTGCAAAGACTAAAAGTATCCTAAATACAAGTTTTAACTAATTTCATCATGTTCTCTGCAAAATCAAAAGGCAGAACACAAACATTAAGAAAAGTACTCATTCATATTTTCTGAAAACAAAGGTAATCTTAAAGGAAATTCTTTAAAACAGCTTAGGAAATAGTCTAGTCCAGTTCCTATTTACAAGAAAAAAACCGATGCCTAAGACTTTGATAAAATAAGTATTTTCTTAATCACTGTTTTTTAATCACAGCCCTACTTCCTGTGCTATGAAGCCCTATGTCTTCTAACAATTATTTCCTCACTACCCTGAGCTGACAAATGGATGGCTGGGAACTGACTGGCAGGATAAAGGGCACTTCCTTACCATCTGTAAGTTTAGAATTAGGAAAACATGCAACTGTATCCTTTAAATCTCTAGAGAAACCTTTAATAAAATGTTCAAGAGAGTTGGATTTGTCTCTTATTTCTAAGTTGCAATTTTCTTGAATTTTAGGATTTAAACATATTCCGATATGCACAAAACTGTATACGTGCCTCTTTGACTGTTTCTCAAGAGATGTGTTTTACCTGTAAGGTTTTATCAGCTCCACAAGAAGCTATTCTCTGACCATCCTCAGAAAAGCAGGCATGGTAAACAGCATCTGTGTGGGGGCGGACAACTAAGCGGGAAAGATTCGTGATGTTTTTTTTGTTTCTAAATACAGGGAAAAAATGAACAGAAATTCAATAAATGAGAGTAAAAGTAACTATTTTCTTTCAGTAATAAAATAAACTGTCTTTTAACAAGGTTATGTTCCCCAAAATACAAAATACTTAAAATCAAATTACTAACATGCAAATGACAGCATAGATCACCAAAAGAAAAGAAATAACAAAAGTAGCATTTGTAAGAGAAATGTTACCCTTTATCAAGCAACCTGTCATGTGTTACAAATGTCACTGAGTTGGAAGAAATCTAATTAATCAAATTAATCAAATCTAGTTAATCAACAAGTCACTTTCTATTTTCCTTTGATACATTAATAATGATACATGTGCTGATAAACCATTATGTAAGCATACCTTCAAAAATTCACCATCTCTTTTTTAAAATAAAAATCATAGCAAAATGCTCATTTCCTAACTGAAGGAAATGCCCAGCATTATTATAATGATGTACTTTAAAGCTGCTCTTCTCAGCCAGGTGTGGTGGCTCATGCCTGTAATCCTAGCACTTTGGGAGGTCAAGGCAGGTGGATCACCTGAAATCAGGAGTTCAAGACCAGCCTGGCCAACATGGCGAAACGCCGTCTCTACTAAAGATAAAAATTGGCTGGGTGTGGTGCCATGTGCCTGTAATCCCAGCTACTTGGGAGGCTGAGGCAGGAGAATCACTTGAACCTGGGAGATGGAGGTTGCAGTGAGCCGAGATCACGCCACTGCACTCTAGCCTGGGCGACAGAGCAAGACTCCATTTCAAAAAAAAAAAAAACTGCTCCTCTCAAACTACAACTATTCAGACATACCAAAAAGATAAAGCAACGTCATATTCTTTGTATCTTAATCTAATGAATACCAACTATTCCACTAGTATAGATATCATATTACTGCTCATAGTATCCAAAGTATAAAGGGTCCAGACGTGGTGGTTCACACCTGTAATCCCAGGACTTTGGGAGGATGAGGCGGGAAATCACTTGAGGCCAGGAGTTCGAGATGAGCTTGGCCAACATGGTGAAACCCCATCTCTACTAAAAATACAAAAATTAGCAGGCATGGCAGCACACACCTGTAATCCTAGCAACTCGGGAGGCGGAGGCATGAGAATCACTTGAATCCGGGAGGTGGAGGTTGCAGTGGGCCGAGATCATACCAATGCACTCCAACCTGGGTGACTGAGTGAGACTCTATCTCTAAATAAATAAATAAATAAATAAACAAATAAATAATAAAGTGTAAAGGAATGTAATGTGTACTTAAAACAGAAAAAACTATTACTGCAGTGTCAGAACTTCACATACATTACATCCCTGTCACTTTAAGTAAATATGTCAAATAGTATTGTGCTTATTTTAAAAGTCAAGGGTGGGCAGTCAGACAAATCTAACCTCATTTCTATTACTTATTAGGTGTGTAAACGAGCAAATTACTTAACCTAACAAGTTTTTATTTCTTCATATGTCAAATGGAAGTAATGGTATCTATTCTAAACAGCACCCCACACATAAAGGTGCCACTATTATCATTCTTCAAAAAACCACACACAAGACAGATCAAAGTGATAAAAGTGAACACAAAGGTAAATCATATTTAGATCCTGCCTACAAAGCATTACACTTTAGTAGAAGTGATAAAAAAACAAAAACAATTGTTCCTCCGTATTGATGAGGGACTTGTTCTAGGACCCACTACAGATACCAAAATCCATGGATGCTCAAGTCTCTTATATAAAATGGTATAGGATTTGCATATATCCCACCACATCCTCCTCTATAGCCTAAATCATCTATAGATTACTCAAAATACCTAGTACAATGTAAATGCTATGTAAACAGTTGTTATACCATCATGTTTAGGAAATAATAACAAGAAAAGTGTCTGTATATGTTCAATACAAACATAACCATCTACTTTTTTTTCCTAGTATTTTCAATCCACGGTTAGTTGAATTCACGGATGTAGAACCCACGGATACGGAGGGTTGACTGTATAATATAAGAACTAGAGTGATGACAACTAGAAAAATAGATAAGTTCTAGCAAAGTTAAGAGGATTCGATTTTAAAATGTTTTTTACGTCTGCTTGATCTATCTACTCAATTCCTCAAAGCTCAGAAAGTGACCTTCATAATAATGGATATATAGTAGATGGCCCAAAAGTACTAGATAAATAACAAATGAATGAGTGCACAAATAATTTCACTGAAAACAGAAACTCAATTAAATTTAAGCTTATACCAACCTAAACCTTTCTATAGTAAACACCAAAAAAGTTTCTAGTACTCAAATAAAGCATCCTTTGAATACGGCCAGGTCAAACACAATTTAAAATAAGTTATAAATAGCTAGCCATTTTATGAGAGAACATCACAAGGAGAAATGCAGTTGACGCGATGGCAGAAAACAGGAAGAAAAAGTAAAAACTCAACAATTCACAAGCGAACAAGAACTAAACCTATGCCCTTTGATCAGAGCAAGTATTAAGATTAGATTTCAGCCACTAACTAAAACATGAATTCATTCAATATTTCACAAATTTATACTGAATACCAACTACACGGACCAGAAAAATGCTAAATGCTTAATAACAACAACTAATATTTATTGAGCACTTTCTATGAACTGGGTGCTGTTCTAAGTACTATATGTATGTCTATATGTTTATATACATACATACACTCGTTTAATCCTTACAACAATGCTATAAAATACAATCATTAGGCAAAAGAAGTTAAATAACTTTCCCCTTATGATATACAACTAATAAATAGCAGAGCTGGGATTCAAACCCAGGCAGTCTACAGCCAGGGTATGTTATTTTAACCTCCAAACTATTCTACACTTCAGAACACATGGACTAGTATGAGAGAAAACCAAGTAAACAGATAATCACTATAAAGTGTGACAAATGCTATGATATGGGGCAAACAGTACTCTCAGACAGATCTAATCTAGCTTCCATAAGTTAGGGGGCTGCTCCTCAGAGACAGAGAGAGAGAGCCCTCCACAAGAAAGTGTTAAAGAATGGTCAACTCTGGAAAGTGGGAAGGTAGGAGATAAATGGCTAGTCTTTGACTTTTCATCTTACATCCTATTACTATTGTTTTTTGTCTTAATCAAGAACACGTATTATTTAAAATAAAACCAGCTGGGTGTTGTGGCTAATGCCTGTAATCCAAGCACTTTGGGAGGCCAAGGAAGGAGGATCGATTGTGTCCAGGAATTTGAGATCAACCTGGGCAACACAGTGCGACCTTATCTCTACAAAAAAATAAAAAATTAGACATGGTAGTATGTGCCTGTAGTCTCAGCTACTCAGGAGGTTGAAGCAGGAGGAATGCTTGAGCCCAAGAGGTCAAGGCTACAGTGAGCAGTGATCATACCACTGCACTCAACCTAAGTGACAAAGTGAGATCCTGTCTCAAAAAAAATAAACAAAACCAACAAAAACTAAACTTATATTTTAACTAAAAACATTTTTTTAATTCTCTCAGATACCATTCTCTCCTTCATGGAACCCTCCCTTGAATTCTTCATTTTTCCAAGCCAATTACTTATCAGTTATATCTCTACTTATACACAGTTCTGTTGTTACACTCACACATTATATTGTAATTATTTGCTTAAACTCCTTACTTCACTACTAGATTTTGAACTCCTTAGGGGAAAGACTTCACATCCAGTAACAGTGCTTAGCACAGTAGAGAAACTCAAACGCCAGTGCTTAGTATAGTACAGAAACTCAAATGTTTCTTGAACTAAACTGAATCAAGAAAATCACCTACAGCAGTCTGCCTTATTTGGAAAGAGGGCCTAATGCCATAAAGATCCACAGATACCAACCTGGACTTCTATTTAGATATAAATTACACAAATGAAAAGAGAGCCACTCATATTTATTATTTCAAGCTATAAGGGAAGCATGACATATGGAAGGAGCATGCAAAATAAAGCCAGGCAGACCCAAGGTGTTTTTTTGTTTTTTGAGACAGAGTCTCGCTTTGTTGCCCAGGCTGGAGTACAGTGGCACAATCTCAGCTCACTGCAGCCTCTGCCTCCCAGGTTCAAACGATTCACCACGTCCAGCTAATTTCTGTATTTTTAGTAGAGATGGGGTTTCACCATGTTGGCCAGGCTAGTCTCAAACTCTTAACCTCAGGTGATCCACCACCTTGACCTCCCAAAATGCTGGGATTCCAGGCATGAGCCACTACGCCCGGCCACAAGACCCAAGGTTTAAATCCCATTCAGCAAGTCACATGAACTTAGCCAAGTCCAAATCTCTCTGTGCCTCAATTTTCTCATTTGTAAAACAGGGCAATTTTAGGTATTTAAATTTTTATAAGGTAAGGATTAAATAGAATAACTTGATTATGTAGCATCATAACAGGTATTAAAAAGATGGTATTAATATCTATCTTTTCCTTTTTATAAGCTGACAAGATTAAGGTAAGAGCAATAGAAACTCCTTTAAGAGAGAATAATCAAGGCCGGGTGTGGTAGCTCACGCCTGTTAATCCCAGCACTTTGGGAGGCCGAGGCAGGCAGATCACGAGGTCAGGAGGTCGAGACCATCCTGGCTAATACGGTGAAATCCTGTCTCTACTAAAAAATACAAAAAAAAATTAGCCGGGGGTGGTGGGAAGCGCCTGTAGTCCCAGCTACTCGGGATGCTGAGGCAGGAGAATGGCGTGAACCCGGGAGGCGGAGCTTGCAGTGAGCCGAGAGCACGCTACTGCACTCCAGCCTGGGCGACAGAGCAAGACTCCACCTGAAAAAAAAAAAAAAGAGAGAGAATAATCAGGGTTCAGTGGTCATTTAATAAGGACTATGTATGCAAAGGAAAGTGCAAATTACTTTACAGCCATTATCTCATTTAAATCTTCACAGAAGGCCAGGCGTGGTGGCTCATGCCTGTAGTTCCAGCACTTTGGGAGACTGAGGCATGCAGATCACTTGAGGTCAGGAGTTTGAGACCAGCCTGGCCAACATGACGAAACCCCGTCTCCACTAAAAATATAAAAACTAGTCAGGCATGGTGGTGGGCGCCTATAATCCCAGCTACTTGGGAGGCTGAGGCAGGAGAATCACTTGAATACGGGAAGTGGAGGTTGCAATGAGCCAAGATCACGCCACTGCACTCCAGCCTGTGCAACAGAGTGAGACTCTGTTTCAAAAATAAATAAATAAATAAATAAATAAATAAATAAATACAATCTTCATGGAAATAGCACTTATTTCAAAGGATTTTACACATGAGAGAAGAACCTATAACTTGTTCAAAGTCACAGAATTATTAGGTTTTAGAAATGAAGCTCAAACCCAGCTCTGTGGCTCCAAAGTCCATGCTCTTCACCACTATACTAAATTACAGTAAGTCAAGCACTTAGTACTGAATATTTAGGATAATTTGTCAAAATGTCTTACAGGCATCTATTTATATGGATTCTTTGAAAATACAATCATTTTCTCCTATGCTTACTTCTCTAGAACTTTTCAATAAGTAAGAATGCTTATTAAAAGTTCCAGCCCTTTTGAAAGTAGTTAAATCTTCCTGGAGTGAACGTATTCACCACCTGAAAAATAATGACATAGTTAGCGCACCGCTCCTGTTGGTTTCTCTCCTAACCTACTTACATCCATTCCAGGTAAAGCATTCCATTATCGACCTCCTGCTTGGCCTGCAGCTTAGCTTGCTGATAAACTTCTGAAGTTTCCGGCTCACAGAGACCCAGTTGTACAATATTAGGAAATGGCTGTCGTCCAAGAAGGTGTCCATTTAAAGATAAAAACTCCTGAAAATTCTCACTGACTGCACAATCCTATAAATAAACTGAAATCTCTTAGAAACACAATCAGAGCCAGGATCTGACATTTTTCTGTTTCTGTGATCTTGCCACTTTAAAAGCTTAAATGAAATATTCTTTATGTGAACTAAAATTGAACAGCCAACCATTAGGTACCAAATACATAGGAATCCTCTTCTGACTTTTAAACATAGGGTAAAAAATCTCATTATCAAACACATTTCTTAATACATTCTTTTTTAAAAAAAAAACCACTGAACATCTTATTTTCCCAGCTTTTAAACTTCAATCCTACCTACTTTCCCAGTAGGCTGGGAAGCAAATTAATTAGAATCACCAAAGATCAAAGGAGGGAAATTATCTTCACCCCTTCTATTCTCTTCACCCCTTCTATTCTGCTCATCCCCATCATTAAACCTAGAATTAAATGTCAAAAAAAATGATATTCCTTTAAGCACTAATTTTTCATATTAATATACATACTTTTTCATCTAGTATATGTCTGTATTCCACAAATTCATGAATCAGATGAGCAGGGCCTACAAGTTCTGTTTTTGCTTTAATCCAATCCAGGGAAAACATTAAAGCACAAAGTTCCTTTAAAAAAAAAGTAACATCAGCAGCACTGTTAGAGATCAAAACATTTTAGGTATGACATCATTATCCTCACACTACTAAGAGAAACAGTAAATATCTAGAATTTAAAGGATGCAAAGGAAGCAAGTGAGAAAGAATACATCTAAAGTTCCAAAGAATCATAAAATGGGCCTCATACTTTAGCTCCAAATAAACCCCAGTTGGTTAAAAATTTAAATAGAAAATAGAAAACATTTTAAAATACTAGAAAATACAAATAAATATTTTTGTAAGCTTGTAGTAAAGGAAATCTTTGTAAACATGACCCCAAAGCAAAATACCAAACAATAAAAACTGCACTTAACTACATAAAAAAGTGTATTTAACTACATAAAAATTCAAATCTTCAATACAGTAGAAAGCAATATAAATTAAACTCAAGACCAAAGAAGTTTTTAAAAAATACTTATTTGTAACATATATGATAGATGAGGGCTTCAGTATTTATTTTTATAGAAAATTCTAATAAAACAATAAGAAAAAGAAAAACATTGCAAGAGAAAAAATAGGTAAAGGAGGTAAAAGCAAAGGATGAGAGCCACAATTCACAAAATAAAAAGTATAGATGGCCAAAATCTCATTGGTAATCAAAGTGAAACAAGAAAAATTTACCATTTTTAAAGTATCAGATCTCTAAAGACTAAAGGAGTAGTAAGAATATTAGCTGGGGCTGGGCACAGTGGCTCAAACCTATAATCCTAGCACTTTGAGAAGCCGAAGAGGGTGGATCACTTGAGCCCAGGTGCTTAAGATCAGCCTGGGCAACACAGTGAAACCTCATCTCTTTGAAACATACAAAAATTAGCTGGGTGTGGTGGTGCATACCTGTGGTCCCAGCTACTCAGGAAGCTGAGGTGGAAGGATCACCTGAGCCCAGGAAGTGTAGGTTGTAGTGATTTCAGCTGAAATCATGGCAGTACACTCCAGCCTGGGCAACAGAGTGAGATCCTGTCAAAGAAAGGCCAAGGCGGAGGAGAGGAGAGGAGGTGGGGAGGAGGAGGTGGAGAGAGGAGAGAGGAGAGGAGGAGGAGGAGGAAGGGGGTAGGGGAGGTGGATGGGAAGGAGGAGAAGGAGGAGGGTGAGGAGAGGAGGTGAGGTGAGGTGATTAGCTGGGATCAGAGGAAATGAATACTTTCAACCACTGCTGGTAGGCATATAAAACGGAGTACCCTTCTGGAGAGCAGTCTGGCAATCTGTACTAAAATTTAAACTGCACATACTATTTGACCCAGAAATTCCACTTATAAAAAAGTATCCTAAGAAAATAACCATCAACCAATTGTCCATCAACCAACTGGCCATTCATAATGTAGCTATACAATGAAATAATATGCAGCTTTAAAAATCATGTCACTCTATATAAATGACAAGAAAAGATGATGATTCAATGTAATTAAGTGGTAAAAAGCAATATATGAGACTTTCTATTATCATCCCATTTGGTTTTAAAGGACAAGTGTATTTATAGAAGCAGCAAAATGATCTGGAGAACTATACACAAGAGCATTAGCAATGGTTGTGATCTGTTTTCTTTTTTATAGTTTTTTTCCTAAGTTTTCCAATGAAAATCAACCATTACTTTTAAAGTCAGAAAAAAGGCTAAAGAGAACTGAATCTGCCACACTATCATATATATATCACATATATATCATACATATACATATATATATCATAAGCTTTAAAAAGGTGCATTGGTTCAGTGATTCTACTTCTCAGAATTTGCCAAGGAAACAACATAGGCACTAAGATAAACAAGAATGCTCATTACAACATCATAAGGATAAAAAAAACTGAAAACCTAAATGTTCAATAATTAAAGTTTGGTTAAGTAAATTAGGGCACAGATATTTATTGGAATGCCATCATTCCAATATACATTATTAAATGTGAATATATTTTGCTAGATGAAAAAAACAAACTACAACAATTTACTATGTATTATAACCAAGAAATAACATACCTGAGCATAGAAAAATTACTGAAAGTACTTATGGTTTTCCAAATGTAAACATTTTGAGTAGCTACTTGGGAGTCATGACTTCAATCAAATACCATCTATGTGCTAACAATTCCCTATTTTCATGTTTCATCTATAATTCTCCCCAGAATTCCAGACTCACATATCTAACCACCTATTCAATATTTCCAGCCAGATGTCTTAATAGGTTTATCAGACTTAGTATATCCAAAATGAGTTCTTAACCATCCCCATTCTCTGCAGGAAAAAGCTTGTTCTCCCACAGACCTCTATTTCAGTTCATGGACTCCATTCTTTCCATTGGAGTTGGAGTCATCTTTGATTCTTCTTTCTCTTTTAATGCGTATCAAACCCATCAGCAAATCATGATGATTCTACCCCTCTATCATCACTTTCTTTCCCCTTCCCTGCTCTCTCCTTCTTCTAAGCACTTAACTACCCACCGAAATATAATAAATTTGTTTAATGTCTGCCTCCTCCCAGAACATAAACTCAGTGAGAGCAGAGACTTTGTGCCTGTGCTTTATCCTCCTAATGAAGAGCGATATACATAACAAGCACTCAATAAATATTTATTGAATCAATGAATATACTTTTCCACTATCCATTTCCTCTCAACGCTTACAAAATAAATCCATACTGCCCAAGAAGGAAAGCTACTAGTAAGAACGGATTAATTCTGAGGTGGTTCATTTACTAGTTACTAAGGTACCTTTTCTCATCACTACAGGTAAAAACAAAAATAATTGCACAGGCTACAATCCCATTTTTACTAATAAAAAAATGATACTAATAAAACAAAACATGTTTATGAACAGGAGAGCAAAGCAAAATACCAAACAACAACGACAACAACAATGGGAAATTTAACTACATAAAAATTCAAATCTTCAGCTGGCTGCGGTGGCTCATGCCTGTAATCCTAACACTTTGGGAGGTTGAGGGGAGTGGATCACTTGAGCTCAGGTTGAGCTCAGGAGTTTGAGACCAGCCTGGGCAACATGGTGAAACCCCATGTCCACCAAAAATACAAAAATATTAGCCAGGCATGGTGGCGTGTGCCTGTACTCCCAGCTACATGGGGGCTGAGGTGGAAGGATCACTTGAGCCCAGGAGGTTAAGGTTGTAATGAGCTGAGATTGTGCCACTGCACTCCAGCCTGAGTGACAAAGTGAGACCCTGTCTCAAAAAAAAAAATTCAAATGGAAAGCAATATAAACAAAATTCGAGACAAAAAAATAAACCAGAAAAAAGCACATAATGGAAAAAGGAAAGTCAGGTAAAATAATTTTTAAATGGGTCATCTTACCTTGTGCATCTTGGCACTGGCCATGTGATAGGCCAGAAAGTTGTACCAATACATACAGTCTTCCTGATCTAGTGAAAGAGTATGCGGCTGGTGATATCTCTGAAACTGAGTGATTATCTTTTTATGTAGATCCTGCAACCCAAATGAAACGTTTCAGAAGCCAGAAACAATTTTATAACCTAAGCATCACAGTAACTTCAGCTTCCAAAGTTATTAAGAATGCACAGAGAGGCCAGGCTCGGTGGCTCACACCTGTAATCCCAGCACTTTGGGAGGCCAAGGTAGGAGGATCACCTGAGGCCAGGACTTCAAGACCAGCCTGGGCAACATAGGGAGATATCCCTATGTTTTATTTTTTACAAAAAGATAAAAAATTAAAAAACAGTCAGGTGTGGTGGCACGTGCCTGCAGACCCAGCTACTCGGGAATTAGCTACTCAGGATCATTTGAGCCCAGGAGTTTAAGGTTGAAGTGAGCCACTGCATGCCAGCCTGGGCAACACAGTGAGACCCTGTCTCAAAAAAAAAAAAAAATATATATATATATATATATATATATACACACACACACACACACACACACAGAGAGAGAGAGAGAGAGAGAGAAGCTCCCCACAAAATGATGACTTTACAGTGGAGAAACCTGGCAGATACCACTTTAACCAAATTATCAACATTAACATCACCCATAATAAAACATATCAACACCAACAGTCTGGGCACAGTGGCTCATACCTACAATCCCAGCACCTTGGGAGGCCAAGACAGGTGGATCATTTGAGCCCAGGAGTTCAAGACCAGCCTGGGCAACATGGCAAAACGCTATCTCTACAAAAATTTTTTTAAAAACCACCAAGTACTCTTAGCATATGATGCCACTGAGAAAGATACAACATCATTGGTATTCTTGCCAAATATGTATAACTTCAATGTAGTCAGGAGAAAACATCAGACAAAACCAAATTTGGGTATACTGTACAAAATTACTAGCCAGTACTCTTTAAAAGTGACAAGGCCACGAAAGATAAAGACTGATAAATTTTCACAGATTTGAGGAGACTGAAAAAATGACAAGTAGGGAAACAAGACAATCACATGCAATACGGGATCCTAAATTGGCCTGGACCACAAAAAGAACATGTAGATTAGCGAACAGTATTGTATCAATGTTAATTTTCTGGCTTTAACAACTGTACTATGGTTATATAAAATGTTAGTATTAGGGGAAGCTAGGTGAAGGACTTATGCATAGAAACTGTCTACTATTTTGTAACTTTTCAATAAATCTAAAATTATTTCAAAGGAAAAAGAAAAAAAAAGTAAACCAAGATTCAAGTACCTGAAGCTGGCTGCAATTCTTCTCTGTAAGAAAATCTACTTGAAGATCATGTAAATAATAACGAAACGACTTTCCATTCCGATCACAAAATAAAAGAGACTTATTTACAAACTGCTGCAGTATGTCTTCAACTTCTTCAGTTTCCATGTCCCAGAGAATACATAACACCTAGGAATCATTGTTAAGTATTTAATATGCCACAAAAGTACAATGACCAGGACTGTAGACAGGTATTATCACACACACACACACACACACACACACACACACACACACACAGGTATTATCACACACACACACACACACACACACAAAAACTGTATCTTAAAGCCCTAAGTAAGAATGTCTCATTTCTTAAGAAGAAACCCAACTACTCCTCAAGATAGAAAAGAGAAAGAGAAGTCAGATGCTTCTTCAGCTGCACTAGAACCACAAAAATAGGTTAACTCCTGAGTTCAACACAGAGCCCTTAATGGAGGCTAACAGCAGAGGGACTTCTACACCCAACACCCCACCACCTCAGTCCTCTGGGTCTTATTCTTCCAAGGTTCTCTGTAACAACATGCTCAGTACTATATCAAAGCTTACATGCAATAAATACCCAATGATAAGGATCATTGATCCCATTACCTTTGTAGGCACCTTAACGTCCTTCTGAAGGATGGAAAGATCTGTGTAATAATATTTGATGTCTTCTCTGAGCATTTCAACACTTATAGACATGGCTTCATCTAGAGCCTCATAATCATAAGACGAAGATTTCCTTATTCTCTTAAACTGCTTATTCTGAAGTTGTTTGAGGTAGTACTCCCAGCGATTGGGAAAATCACGTAAAAGTGCACCAATTAAAGATACTACAAGGGGAGAGCCTTAAAAAAAAAAAAAAAAGGAAGTCACTGTGCTAATACCATCCTATTTTGTCACTACTAAGAATCAACTTACTTACACTACTAAGAAACAATTTCTGCTGCATGTTATCAAAAGCTTTAAGTATTTATCACTCTTGACTTCACTTCTAGATATTTATTCCAAAAAAAATTAGAAATAAGATTTAATTTAATAAGTTCCTGATTATCTTTATTAAGTCAAAATAACATAGATCAAATCTGGCTAAGATGTCGTTACAAAAAAAAAATACATATGTGTGTGTGTGTGTGTGTGTATATATATATATATATATGCGCCAGCCTGAGCAACATAATGAGACCTTGTCTCTACTAAAAATAAAAATTAGAAATATCAGCCAGGTGTGGTGGTACGTGCCTATAGTACCAGCTACTTAGGAGGCTGAGGTAGGAGGATTGCTTCAGTCCAGGAGGTTGAGGCTACAGTGAGCCATGATGGCACCACTGCATCCCAGCCTGGGAAACAGTGTGAGAGCCTGTCTTAAAGAAAAAAAAAAAAAAAATGATTAAATTTAAGGATATTCATCACAGCATACTTAGAACGGTGAAAAAAATCTTAAATAATGTAAACAATGTCCAATAATAGAGAAGTGGTTGAATAAATTAAGATATATCAATATTATGCCACTGGTAAATTTTTTTCAAAAAAATATTTAACAACATGGGAAAATGCTCAAGATATATAAAAAGGGTAAGGTCAGCCAGGCGCAGTGGCTCACGCCTGTAATCCCAGCACTTCGGGAGGCCAAGGCGGGCAGATCACAAAGTCAGGAGATCAAGACTAGCCTGGCTAACATGGTGAAACTTCGCCTCTACTAAAAATACAAAAAAATTAGTGGGGCATGGTGGTGGGCACCTGTAGTCCCAGCTACTCAGGAGGCTGAGGCAGGAGAATGGCGTGAACCCAGGAGGCGGAGCTTGCAGTGAGCCAAGATCACACCACTGTGCTCCAGCCTGGACAATAGAGCGAGACTCCGTCTCAAAAACAAAACAAAAAAAAAAGGGTAAGGTCCAGCTGGGTGTGGTGACATGCGTCTTAGTCTTAGCACTTCGGGAGACTGAGGTGGGAGGATTGCTTGAGGGCAGAAGTTTGAAACCTGCCTGGGCAACATAGTGAGACCCTGTCCCTACAAAAAAATTTAAAAATTACCCAGGTAGGTGGTGAGTATCTGCAGTCCCAGCTATTCAGGAGGCTGGGGCAGGAGGACTGCTTAAGACAAGACATTCAAGCCTGCGGTGAGCTGTGATCTTGTCACTGCACTCCAGCCTGGGTGACAGAGCAAGACCTTGGCTCTTCAAAAATAAGGGCAAGATCCAAAACTATGTATACATAATCTCAATTTTTAAAATCTTTGTTCTAAAAGACTGGAGGCAATACTCTCATGATGCTAATAATTATCAGATTATGGATAATTTCTATTTTTTCTTTATAGTTTCACACATTTTCAAAATGGGCATGCATCACCCTTTGTAATAACTACAAATCAAGCATTTTTCCTAAGTGTAAGATTTCTTCAAAAATAAACAAAACTGGCCAGGTGTGGTGGCTCAGGCCTGTAATCCCAGCACTTTGGGTGGCTGAGGCAGGTGGATCACGAGGTCAGAAGTTCAAGAGTACCCTGGCCACGATGGTGAAACCCCGTCTCTACTAAAACTACAAAAATTAGCTGGGTGCAGTGGCACGCGCCTGTAATCCCAGCTATTAGGGGGCTGAGGCAGGAGGATCACTTGAACCTGGGCAGCAGAGGTTGCAGTGAGCAGAGATCACGCCACTGCACTGAAGTCTGGGCGACAGAGTGAGACTCAGTCTCAAAAAATAAATAAATAAACAAACAAACCTGTGTCTCTATTTGATGGCAAAATGAAAAATAAGGTGGCCAGGTATGGTAGCTCATGCCTATAATCCCAGCACTTTGGGAGGCCGAGGCGGGCAATCACCTGAGGTCAGGAGTTTGAGACCAGCCTGACCAACATGGCAAAACCTCATCTCTACTGAAAATATAAAAATTAGCCGGGCATGGTGGCACATGCCTGTAGTTCTAGATACTCGAGAGGCTGAGGCAGAAGAACTGCTTGAACCTGGGAGGCAGAAGTTGCAGTGAGCCAAGATCACGCCACTGCACTCCAGCCTGGACGACAGAGTGAGATTCCGTCTCAAAAGAGAAAAAAAAGAAAAAGAAGAAAAAGAAGGTATTTCCAAGCATAGCAACAATGAAAGAAATAATTTTAAGAGTTGATAGATTTGACTGTATAAAATTTTAAGCTTCTATATGTCAAAAGAATACAACAAATAAAAGGTACACAAAAAACTGGGAAACAGGCTGGACATGGTGACTCATGCCTGTAGTCCCAGTGCTTTGGGAGGCTAAGGTAGGAGGATCATTTGAGGCAAGTAGTTCAAGACCAGCCTGGGCAACATAGCGAGATCCTATATATAAATTTTACATTAAAAAATTGTTTTACTGGGAAATAATACTTGTAAAAATATGACAAAGAGCTAATAGTTTCAATTTTTAGAGTATTTAGAAATAAGTCAAAAATGCTTATATCAAAAAAGAAAAGTGAGTCAAGGATAATTTCTTAAAGTCAAGGATAATTTCTTAAAACATATTCAATAAACAAGCAAAAAGTTTAACTTCACTAACGAAAAATGCAAATTAAGACACCAGTTTTCACTTACCAAATTAGAATACTATTTTTATAAAATCCCAAGCAAATACAAGTTTTAAATCTGATTCTCACTATATTTTTAACTCTGACAGCAGAGGTCACATCTGTGTCTCACTTCTCTCGCTAATGTGGTCTCTAACACACTGTGGGTAGATAGTAAATATTATTTTAATGAATAAATAAATACCATAATATCATGTATCCATTTAAGACATCAGAGAAGAACCTAAAATACTAAATCTCCCAGAAAAGTTCTTGCATGTTCATGTGCTAAGTTATCATATTCATTAGCTTAATTTATAAAAGGGAAATTATATAACTCCCTATAACCTCCTCATAAACAAAATAAATAACCATACCTTTACATTCTTTTATAATACTATGAGCTTGTTCTGGCAAATCTGCTTTCTTCATATTAACAAAAAGGGATAAAATTTCAAGTCCTTTTTCTTTTCCTAAGGAACTCTCCACAGGGACTACATATTTAGGACCTGCAAACAAAAATCACAAGACAAAGTAAGTAATTTGGTATGCCACATATTTAAATGTAATTGAATTAAATATAAAGGTACTAAAAAGTTAATGAATAATCCTTACCCATTACTGAATCTGTAACACTCTTGTCTCTGGTTGTAAGAAGAATCTGACACTGATTGTCAAAAGCTTTCAACACCCAAGAGTCCCAAACATCATCCAAGATCAACAGAGACCTAATTAAAAAAAAAAAATTAATCACTAATGACACTTATTTTAAGCTTCCTTTTAAAAAGATAATCACACCAGTGTCTTTTAAAATCTACGAAATTAAAAATTTTTTTAAACAAATAGATAGCTAGGTCTAGGAAAATGAGTCTTCCTCTTCGCTACACTCTTTTCTCAATATGCTGATTCAAATAAGGAAAAAAAAATTAGAGACTTCTTTCTCCTCAAACCCTAAATCAGAACATATTAAAAGTACAGATCCTACCATAAAAGGTTCAGCCACCACTTACTGAGTGCCTTAAAAAAAAAAAAAAAAAAAGGGGACCATTACTATCCAAGTAATGGGATTTTCCAACTCAGTCTTTAAGCACCAAAACCAAACTAGAACTGAGCTCAGGTTAGCATTAGAATGCATCATACAATAACGATGATATGTAACCATTTTTTACCTATAAAACTAGCAATTTCAAATGTTGCAACCTAAAAGAACATTACCTTTCATACAAGTGGTTTTTTTTTAAACAATGTGTTTATTCATAGTAACTAAGAACCTCTATATCAATTCCCAATTGGTCTCTCTAAAAACTTTTCTAAACTCACTAGAACAGATGAGGGGAAAAAATATAACTAAAACCTGATAGCATAATTATACACTAGCATTTTTGTCTAAATGACACACTGTGGCTGCACGTTACAAAAAAATACTCTAGGCACATATATAGGTTGAAAAATTACAAAAGCATAAACCAAATGAGAGTGAGAGATTAAAAAAATATGCCTGGTTTTATAAGCTAGTCTGACACATCTGAAGGTGGCTACATTATTTTACTCAACAGAAGTCACTTTTATTTTTGCAAAAAAGGGAAAGCAGAACTAGGGTAAAGTTACCGAGCAATTAAAGAGGGAAGGGTTAGTGATCTCAATCCTATTTCCTCTATATAAATCAATATCAAGAGAACGAGGGCCTAGGCGTGGTGGCTCACGCCTGCAATCCCAGCACTTTGGGAGGCCAAGGTGGGCGGATCACGAGGTCAGGAGATCGAGACCATCCTGGCTAACATGGTGAAACCCCATCTCTACTAAAAATACAAAAAATTAGCCAGGCGTGGTGGCAGGTACCTGTAGTCCCAGCTATTCAGGAGGCTGAGGCAGGAGAATCACTTGAACCCAGGAGGCGGAGCTTGCAGTTAGCAGAGATTGCACCAAGATAATATAACAAGTATGCATCAGAATCACCTAGTAGGCTTTTCCCAAAAATACTCTTCTCACCCTATATTCTGATATTAATACCCTTACCAATTTGAGAATCACTGCCATACTCAGCAACTGCTACAGATTGCATCCTTGGGTGCATTATAGCATTTTTAAAAAGTGCAGAGCCACTACCTCTCACTCAATATACTATAACATTCCCAAAGAACGCTTTATTTATCTTTATACTTGCAGCACTTGGCCCAGAACCTGGCACAACACTCAATGTTGGTTAAATGAACAAATGAAAGAGAGGCTGTTAGATGACAGAAATCAAATTGTTGACTGAATCCAAGGTTATACTCTTAAGACTAGCAGCAGCTAAACTGCTGTCTCCCTTTTGGCTAATGAAAACGGTGAAACACTTGGTAACAGTGCCTGCACATAATTATAATGGTAAGTATTTGCTGAATTAATTAACTGTTGAACAAACAAAACAAACTCACTCCTGAAGTATATGGAAGTAGAAGAGTCACATGTATATTTCTAGAAACTAAGACAAAAGAAGAGCTCCATTAAAAATCCTTCCTGACTCTTTTTTAAATTGAAATAGGATCTTCCTCTGCCATCCAACCTGGAATACAGTGGCACAATCTAGGTTCACTGCAGCCTTGATCTCCCAGGCTCAAGTGATCCTCCCACCTTAGTCTCCTGAGTAGCTGGGACCACTACTGAATGATGTACCACTACATCAGACTAATTTTTCTATTTTTTAGAAAGACAGGGTTTCGTCATGTTGCCCACACTGGTCTTGAACTCCTGGGCTCAAGCAAACTATCCATCATAGCCTCTCAAAGTGCTGTGACTACAGGCACAAGCCACTGTGCCTGGCCCTTTCCTGACATTTATCAGTTGCTTGCATTTATTCTCTCTTGTTCTATGTTAACCCATTAGAAATAATGGATTCAAAGTAAGAAGTTTGCACTTTCTAGCAAAGACCACTCACAAACTCACCTACTTAAGACATTCCCTGAGAGCCTACAATCGTACATATGAGACAATGTGGTAGATAGGAAGCAAAGAAAAAAAGCAACTTTAGGCCAAATGGCAGCCCCTTTTTTTTTTTTTTATCTTTTTAAATACAAGAAAGAAAAGCAATCTTTCTCTTTTCTTTTTCTTTCTTTCTTTCTTTTTTTTTTTTTTTTTTTTTGACAGTTTCACTCTTATTGCCTAGGCTAGAGTGCAATGGCACGATCTCGGCTCACTGCAACCTCCGCCTCCCAAGTTCAAGCGATTCTCCTGCCTCAGCCTCCCGAGCAGCTGGGATTACAGGCATGCACCACCAATACCTGGCTAATTTTGTATGCTTAGTAGAGATGGGGTTTCACCATGTTAATCAGGCTGGTCTTGAACTCCTGACCTCAGGTGATCCAAACGCCTTGGCCTCCCAAAGTGCGGGGATTACAGGCGTGAGCCACCGCGCCCAACTGCGATGGTTCTCTCTTATCCTCCTTTTAGGACAGCAGGAAAAAGGCATGATGTTCTCAAGAAGTCAGTAGTTGCATCTTATTGGGACTTCACACACCAACTAAATTTGACTATCAGTACCTTGGGTGTTTGCGAAGCATCAGAATGCGAAGACGGTCTTTAGCCTCTTCAATGTTAAGTGGAAGCCTCTGGGAAAAACTCTCATCTTGATCCAATCGTGTGCAAAGATTCTGCAGTTTCATCAGAAGTCCAGATTTGTCTTGTTTCCCAACTGAAACCCAATGCACTCCCCCTGGGAAACAATCTAGTGAGGGAAAGAATAATGAACTTAAGGCCTTTCAACAGGAGTCCTCCTTTAAATGGTTTTACTGTTAAGCATCAGATTTACTCCAATTTTCAGTCCCATCATATCTTTGACCTCTCTTGATTTAGAGTATAAATTTTACATGCAAGATATTGGTAGGCTTTATATCCTGAATCTAAGACAAGTTGAAGATGTGAAAAAACTGAAGTTTGGAGTAAATCTGTGGCTTATCAGGAAAATCTTACCAAGTAAAGTTTTATTATCTTTGTCCTGTGTTGTCAATGATCGCTGCACAGCAGTTTCTAAACCTTGTACTCCTGACTTTTTGGGATGGCAATTCTTTGTTGTAAGGGACTGTCCTATGCATTATAGGATGTTTAACAGCCTCTTTGGCCTCTATCCACTAGATGCCAATAGGATTCCCCTTCACCAGTACTGACAAACAAAAATGTCTCCAAACATTGTCAAATGTCACCTGGGGGGGTGCAAAATCACCCCTCATTGAGAACTACTGATGTCCTGGAACATATTAACTCACCCATTATGGTTTTCTTATACAGATTTAAAATAGGAAATTAGATTCAAGTCTGGCTCTACTGCTTATTAGCTAAGCAATCTTTAGCAAATCATTTAACCTCAGTCTCATTTGTTATACTGAAATAAGGTTGTCTAGCCCACCTATTTCAGAGTTGCTGTGAAAAATTAATGATATAAAATATGTGAATTTGCTATGTTAAGCATAAAGGATTAAAACAAGATGTTAGTGTTATGGATCTGAGAGCAACTTACCAATATTAAGCTTCGAACTAGTAAGCACTAGGAATGGCCGTGATTATTATTACTGTTATCATCATCATTGTTAATTGAGCCATAAAACATCTTGAAATACGTATTTTTATTTACGTATTATCAGGAACCAAAATCTTAAGTCTTCATAGACTATACTTAATCACTTCCACATAAATATACATATATTAAAAAGAGGGGTCCCCATGTGTAAAACACGGTAAACAGTAGCATTAGATCATTCCAGTAGCATCAATCATAAAGATTTATGTGATCTTAAACATAAACATACCAAAAAAAGCAAAAAACAGACTCAAAGATAAATGAGTTAAATTACACCAAAGGGCAATTTATTTACTGGTATTCACAAATAATTAAATACAAATATAAATCACTATTTTAAAAACTTAATCACCCAAAAGAGATACTTGCCTATATGCACAAATATCTATTTACATCAGATATTTATTGGGCACTATTCTAAGAGTTCTATGTATGTTCATTCATTTAATACTATAGCACACTATCAAGCAGACACTATTACCTTCATTTTGAAAATGAGGAAACTGAAGAATAGAAAAGTTGAGTAATTTGCCCAAAGTTACACAGCTAATAAAGCAAAGCTGAGATTCAAACTTAAAGCATCAACGTTCAACTTCTACACCATTCTGCATCAACAAGAATATTCACTGCAGCATTGTTTGCAACAGGAAAAAGCTGGAAACAACCCACAATGTCCACCTTACCCTACTATCCCATTGCAGGCTTCCAAAGTCTCAGACAGGCCCAACTGAACCTTGTACGTAAATGAAGTTTGCAGTATTGAATAGGACTTGACATTTTAATTATGGAAATGAGACTTTTTATAACTTGAAGTGACGTGGAGTCTTGGAACCTGCACAAGGTCAAGGAAAGGATCAGTCCCAGAAAAGAGGAAGTAAGCAAAGGTCTGGATGAAGCCATGAAGAGCAAATACCTACTCCATTTCCCAGCATAGAAAAAAAAACCGGTTTTCGCTCCAGATAAGGAGAGGACTAAAGAGCCAAGAGTATGTGCTAAGAAGCAACTGAATGATGGGCAATAAAATGATGGACTATGATGGCTCAAGTCTAGGAAAGGACTGATAGTATGAATAGAGAGGATATTCTGGAATCAATGGATGAGAAGTCTTGGTAAGTCTATAGCAATAAACTTGAAGAATAAAATAGGTGGAGGCGGGTAAAGAGTAGAAGAGAATGCTCAACATCAAGATTTCAAAAGTGCTGTAGTTCTAGTAATGACAAGGATCAGGGTCCAGCCTGTAATCAGGGAAGAGTTAAGAAATGGCCACAGGAGGCCGGGTGCAGTGGTTCATGCCTATAATCCCAGCACTTTGGGAGGCTGAGACAGGAGGATCACGAGGTCAGGAGATCCAGACCATCCTGGCTAACATGGTGAAACCCTGTCTCTACTAAAAATACAAAAAAATAGCGGGTCGTGGTGGCAGGCACCTGTAGTCCCAGCTACTCAGGAGGCTGAGGCAAGAGAATGGTGTAAACCCGGGAGGCAGAGCTTGCAGTGAGCAGAGATCGCCCCATTGCACTCCAGCCTGGGTAACAGAGCGAGCCTCCGTCTCACAAATTTAAAAAAAAAAAAAAAAAAGTCACAGGAGATAAAGTGGTTAAGGAAAGAAGAGGCTAAGGTTTTGGATGACTCATCCACATAGGTATCAAAATCACTAAGAGTGCTAACAGACAAAGGGCATAAGATGAAGGTTAAAAGCTAAGAACTCCAATCGTCAATGAATAAGATGGTGATTACATCAATAGGAAAGGTTAGAGACATGAACCTCAAAGCATTCAGCTGGAGAAGGGAGTATTAATGGTCTGGATGAGGCAACAGAGAGCAAGAACAATGCCCACCCATTTCCTGGTGCTAAAATATGTGGGATATAAAGGAAAAAACTTGCCATGTCACTTAAGAAGGTTACAGAGAAGGCAGTATCCTCAGGAAACTGGCCAGTTTCAGATAAGGCAAGAAGGTGAATATTCTAAGAAGTTGATGATACAAGAGAGTTTCCTGCTCACAGAGGAGGAGTTCTACAGGGTATGGCAGAAACACATATGAATGAGAGAAGACGACCTAGATCAGAATTTGTCAATGTACTGAATAATGACTGCATGAAAGTCTAAAATATAATAAACAACTGGAGACAAAGAACTGTACAGTAACTGAGGTAGAGACGGGGCTGTGAAGCCTGGTTTGATTATCAGTGCTAATGTCTTAGAAGAAGGTAGACAAGCCCTATTGCTAACTCCTAAAGATTCTGAGGTCCCCTCAGGCCTTCTTCAGTGTAAGTTTATAGTTATGACCTTCAGTGTAAGTTTACAGTTATGAAACAGCAAGCCCTCGAGGCTTCACTTAAAGCTGTACTCCATATGTATATATATTCATAAATGCAGAGAATAAAGTTTGGAAAAATTTACTCCAAATTGTTAACCAAGACTATCTCTAGGGTAAGATTTAGAATTTAGAGCCAGGAATGGTGGCTCCCAGCACTTTGGGAAGCCAAGGCAGACAGATTGCTTGAGCCCGGGATTTCGAGACCAGCCTGAGCAACACGGTAAAACCACGTTTCTAAAAAAATACAAACATTAGCCAGGCAAGGTGCTATGCACCTGTGGCCCAGTTACTCAGGAGGCTGAGGTGGGAGGATGACCTGAGCCTGGGAAGTTGAGGCTGCAGTGAGCCAGGATCATGCCACTGCACTCCAGCCTGGGTGACAAAGTGAGAGTCTGTCTCAAAAATAAAAACAAAAAAAAGATTAAGAATTTAGGAGAAAGCAAAAAGGAACAAGTAAGAACTTTTACTTCTTTTTAAATGAAAATACTACTTTTAAAATATAGAGATGTAAACTATCTGCTGCTTTAAGTTTCCTTTTTTCACAATTTGTGCTGTCTACCTAAAATTTGTAAAAATCAGCCAGGCACGGCGGCTCAAGCCTGTAATCCCAGCACTTTGGGAGGCTGAGGCGAGGGGATCACTTGGGTCAGGTGTTCGAAACCAACCTGGCCAACAAAGTAAAATCCCATCTGTACTAAAAACACAAAAATTAGCCAGGTGTGGTGGTGCACATCTGTAGTCCCAGCTACCTGGGAGGCTGAGGCAGGGGGATTGCTCGAATCTGGGTGCAGAGGTTGCAGTGAGCCAACATCATTGCACCCCAGCCTAGGCGTCACAGTGAGACTCTGTCTCAAAATTAAATTAAATTAAATTTGTAAAGATCATCCCAAGATTAAAGGTAAAGAAAGCATCCTGATGTAACTACCTAGTAAATTCTTTCACATTTTAATTTACGTACCTATTACCTAGGGTCAAAGGCCTTTTTTCCCTAAATATATAACTAAAAATGTAGGGCATTTAAATACACGCAAGAAAAGAGAAAACACTATCAGCTTTAAAAAGGCAAACAGACCAAATGACTACCTGATATGCAAATCTCTAACATCACAATATAACATTTGGTTAAAAACTGAACCATTAATTCCACATTTCAGAAAGAATCTAAACATCTTGACTATGGGCACAAGAGGGAGCAATTTAGCCTCGCATGAGGCTGTATTTACAATTCATTCAGAGAAACTAATTCAGAGAAAAGTTGCCTTTATTCAGGGAAAACTCCATAATACTTTCACAGGAGGCTTATCCTGGTAGCACTTCATAATCTAATAACACAAAGAAATCTTGGAAAGGACAGAAACATATAGGAACACAGTATAATCTAATAACACAAAGAAATCTTGGAAAGGACAGAAACATATAGGAACACAGTCTATGAAGAAAGCATCCATGATTAAAAACCAACATACGAATACAGTAACGTAAAATGTCATTACTGTATTTAAAGATACGTCTGTTCTTCATTATCTCCCTACAAATAAGTTGAAATTTCAAAAGACAACTGGGTTACTCAAAACTGTATAGGCACAAATAGTTAAAAACTATATATAAGAGAGAGAGTTTGGTTTTTTTTTTTTTTTTTTTTGAGATGGCATCTCACTGTCACCCAGGCTGGAGGGCAGTGGTGCAATCTTGGCTCACTGCAACCTCTACCTCCTAGGTTCAAGCGATTATCATGCCTCAGCCTCCCAAGTAACTGGGATTATGGGCAGGTGCCACCACGCCCGGCAAATTTTTGTATTTTTAGTAGAGACGGGGTTTCACCATGTTGGCCAGGCTCGTCTCGAACTCCTGACTTCAAATGATCTGTCTGCCTCAGCCTCCCAAAGTGTTGGGATTACAGGCATGAGCTACTACACTCAGCTGAAAGTTAAAAACTTAATATTCTTTAATTTATCCCAATCACCACCCAAAGACAACATTTCCATAGGAACTACAATTTTAATCAAATTTAGAACTCTTACATTATCTGTAATTTTAAAAGAAAATGTTTTGTAATACAATTAAATGTCAAAAATCCAATGTTCCTGTATTTGAGAATGGAAGTGAACTCCAGAGATTAAAATTTATCTTTGGGAAAGCACCTACTCTTGCACTAGTGAACATACAAAGGCAGTCTCCAGAGAATAAAGAGCTAAATATGAGAATAAAGAGCAAAATATGAATAATAAGACTGTAATAGGACTACTTGAACAAAACTCAGGAAATACAAATTAGAAGACAAAAAAAAAATTTGATTAGTTTGACTACATCGAAGTTCTCTTCTACTGAGAACACCCAAGAAAAAAATTAATCACATGGCAAATTAAAACGAGGTATTTAAAAGTCTAAAACCAGCTGAGCACAGTGGCTCACGCCTGTAATCTCAGCACTTTGGGAGGCCGAGGCAGGGGGATCACCTCAAGTCGGGAGTTCAAGACCAGCCTGATCAACATGGAGAAACCCCGTCTCTACCAAAAATACAAAATTAGCCAGGGGTGGTGATGGGTGCCTGTAATCCCAGCTGCTCAGGAGGCTGAGGCACGACAATCGCTTGAACCTGGGAGGCAGAGATTGTGGTGAGCCGAGATCGCGCCATGGCACTCCAGCCTAGGCAACAGGAGCGAAACTCGGTCTCAAAAAAAAATAAAATAAAGTCTAAAACCAACAAAGTCTAATTTCTAGAATATATAAGAAACTTCTAAAAAGCAAAAAAAAAAAAAAATGGAAATCCCAATGGAAAATAGACAATATAAACAAAATCCATAAAAAAAGAAACTCAAAAGACTAACAACAAGCTTATGAAGAAATGTTCAAACCTGAGTTACCAGAGAAATGCAAAGTAAAAGATACAACTTTATAGAAGTTTGCCTGGCAAAAATTACAAAGCTGGATCATACCAAGTGTCACTGCAGAAGTGAGGTTATAGGAGTCCCCATACTCGTCTGGGGGAAAAGTACAGACTGGAGGAGAATCAAATTTGGTATTTATGTATCCTATCATTTAGTAATTTTGGCTGGGCATGGTAGCTCACACCTGTAGTCCCAGCACTTCGGGAGGCCAAGGCGGGAGCATGACTTGAGCCCAGGAGTTTGAGACCAGCCTGGACAAGATAGCAAGACCCTATCTCTACAAAAAATTTTTTAAAACACGCCAAGCACAGTGGCTTACACCTGTCATTCCAGCACTTTGGGAGGCCAAGGCAGGTGAATCTCTTGAGCTCAGGAGTTTGAGACCAGCCTGGGTAACATGACCCCATCTCTACAAAAAATACAAAAACTAGCTGGGTGTGTCAGCATGCACCTGTGGTCCCAGTTACTCAGGAGGCTGAGGTGGGAGGATCACTTGAACCCAGAAGGCAGCGGTTGCAGGGAGCCAAGATCATGCCACTGCACTCCAGCCTGGGTGACAAAGCAAGACCCTGTCTCATAAATAAATAAACAATTGGCCAGGCATGGTGGCATGTGCCTGTAGACCCAGCTACTCAGGAGGCTATGGTGGGAGGATCACTTGAGCCTAAGAGTTTGAGGCTGCAGTGAGCTATGATATGGCCACTGCACTCAGGCTGGGCAACAGGGTGACACTCTGTCTCTTTAAAAAAAATAAAAATAAATTAAAAATTACTAATTTTGCTCCTAGCTACAAATACCCAAGAAATTCTTACTCACATAAAAGTTCAACCCAGCTTTGCTGGAGCAGCAGAGAGTTGGATACAATCTACATGTCCATTTACTTAGGGCAATGGACAGTAAAATGGGTTGGTGGCAATCAGGTGTAACAAATAACATGTATACATAGCAAGAAGGATAAATCTTAAAAACATTGTGTCACGGGAGATAAAAAACAGAATAATTAATACCATAACATCTATGCAAATTTAAAACACCTGCATATAAACAACATACATATTTTACAAGAGCACATACTTTACACAGACATTTACAAAGAACATACATTAAATACATTAGGATTGTCCATGGAGAGGGGGAAGGAAATAAGAAAAGGAAATTTTGAAATGGAAATAAACAAATAAATACAGTGAGAAGCTTAACCTAGTACAGATCTACTATAATAAGCCGTGAACTAAGGAATATGAATAACTCAATCCTCTGAACTTGAGATCCCACAAAAGCACATGAGGAATATGAATTAAGCTCACATGTACTTGACAGTTGCCGGTATCTCTAGGATTTTCTCAAAGTGGTTAAAACCTGTTCCAAGATAACAATTTATAGAGTATGACTCCTGAGTATTTAATTCCATAAACTGTTGGCCAATTTTAATCCCTAGAATTGAAAATTCATCACAATAATGTAGAGCAATTTAAATGGGGAGAGGCAGTGTTCTTTTAAACCTATAAATTGGAATATTATAAATATACAAAAAAGTTCATCATAATATTGAAAGGAAAACTCATCTCTTCACATTAAAGGAACTTAAGCCAAATTTATCCTGAAATATCCTTAGCGATCAACTTTGCAGTATTGGTTTAAAAAAATCCTTGGGTCTGAGACTTGAGAGGAGCTAAGTCTCAAGAAACTTCTCTGTAATGACAGAGGGGAAAAACCAAGGGTTAGGAATTGGGCGTACTTCTGACAAGAGTATAGTCAATATCACTTACAAAGGCTATGAAATTAAACTGAGGCCATATGTACACATAGATGTACCCCAGCCTCCATATTTTTAAGTCTCTTAGAGGCTTACTACTTATTCCAATCATTCTGTCTAAACTGTCTTAACCGTAGATCATGTTATACATACTGAAAAAAAAAAAAAATTTTTTTTTTTTTTGAGACGGAGTCTTGCTCTTGTTGCCCAGGCTGGAGTGCGGTGGTGCGACCTCAGCTGACTGCAACCTCCGCCTCCCGGGTTTAAGCGATTCTCCTGCCTCAGCCTCCCAAGTAGCTGGGATTACAGGTGCTCACCACCACACCTGGCTGATTTTTTTTGTATTTTTGGTACAGACGGGATTTCACCATGTTGCCCAGGCTGGTCTTGAACTCCTGACCTCAGGTGATCCACGCCTCAGCTGGGATTACAAGCATGAGCCACCGTGCCTGGCCTACTAAAAAAAAAAATTATTAACTACCAGAAGTTGGGAACTGTCTTTGAATTCCCCTAGAAGTGTCATACAGAGAGAACACACTGATGAATGAGAACACTCTGATGAACAGGGGCAGCCTAGAGCTGATGGAGCTATACAACTATTCCTGATGAATATCCTGAGAACCTACCAGGCTCACTAAGGTCAGTGGTATATCCATCAATATGTCTTAAACCCTCTTTTATCCAGTATGCCCTTCCCCACCCTAGTAACCACCCACTACCCTTCCCACCTTCTCTAGTCTCCCATCCCTACCTTCACTGCCTGGCAAACTTTTATTCTTTATTCAAACTCCCACTAAAATGTCATCTCATTCAGGAAGCCTGTCCTATCCATCCTCTTCCTTTAGAGACTTAACATATCCTTTCTTTGTTCTAACTCTGTACCTTATACTTGTTTCTACCATTCAATTTATCACGTATTGATATATCATAATATTTTTACATGTCTATCTACCTTATTAGACTATGAAATGGACTAAGACACTTACCTTCTAAGAGGGAATGATCTCTAACAGCTTCTGCAGCTAATACAGACTTTCCACAGCCTGCCATTCCATGTATGGTGACCCATCCTGGTTCACCCTTCAATTTGGAGAGCTTCTGCTGAATTGCATTCACCAGCTTCTTCCTTGTGACAAAAACAACTGGCCTCTGTGGTACTCCACCTTCACACAGGACTGTCCTTACTAAAATCCAAAACAAAACAAGCATGAATGAATAGAACTTTGGAATGATTACTGAAGTAATACCATAAAAAACAAAGAGCAAAGCTGAGGCTTAGCCTGAAAATTTCCAAGAGAAGTAAGAAAATGAGGCTAGCATATTAACTTCAATTTTCTGATTTCTCAGACCACAGAGAGCAAAAAGGCAAACATATATCCTTCAAGATGACTAAAGAAAATGGAAGTTTCTATCTATATCTGCTTTACTCACCCTATTATTTCCTGACTTTTCAGTCTCTGTCATATTGAAGACTGGGAAGGCAAGTGTAAAAGGAAGAACATTTATGGAATACCTTTCAAGAACATATATCTCTAAAGATTCTTATTTTTTCCTATAAACTCTATAAACACATAGAACTGGAAAATAAACAAGGGCCTATAAATTTTATTGTCTCTAAAAATTAGGGCAGACATATTATTATCTCAGCAATACAGTTCACTGGGCAAGAAGAAAATGTGAGAATTAACATGGATGCAAATAAGAAATATTTAAATTGAAAACATCACTACAATTTTTTTAACATGCGGTTTTCAGTGAACTGGTCACACTCTCTTCAGAAGATTACATCTACAGTAAGACAAACCCAAAGCAATTTTGATAGCAAAGTGATAGAAGGTATAATGGATACAAACCGTATGAAGTTATTCCACTAACTGAATCTTTACCACTGGAAGAAGAGACAACAGGAATGCCATCATGGAGAAGGGCAGCAAGATCTTTATATCCTTCATGTAGTAGAGCATTGTAGAATGATATGTAGGAATCATTATCTTTTTTAAGTATCATTTTAATTAGCATAGCTGCTCTTTGCTGTTGAGTGGGCTAAAAAAAATTAAGTAGTTTAGTATATAACAATGAATATGTATGCAACATAAATTAGTGGAGACCAGTGCAAGTTCTGAAATTCTAAACATTTTTAAGAAAGTGTGGACTGCTTCCGAGAACTTTACCTCATTTCTTACTTTTTCCTCTTCTGATATTGTTAAAAATCCATCACTAATCATGTGATCCATGATGTAGGATGTCTTGATGTCCTTTTCCAGAGCTTCTCTATGTTGAAGCAAACAATTTCGAGCTTTTGCATCCATCTTCCCTCAAATCTTTCTCTCTCTGAGCTGTCAACCATGAGTTACAGCCAAAACACCAAAATATTTGTCAGGCCATTAAACATATGAAACGATACAAAATCTCATTAGCAAACAAGAAATGTAAAAAGAACAAAACTGATTGTTTTTCTTGGCAAAACTTTTTAAATGGACAAAACCCAATGCTTGGAAAGATATGAGAAAATGGGCTGTCTTATGCACTAATTGGGGAAAGTAGAAAATGGATGCAATTTTTCTGGAAGGCAGTATAAGATACGGAAGTGTTTAAAACAAGCTTTCTCTCTAACCCAGAAATCCCACTTCTAAGGATTTACTTCAAGGAGACATTCAAACACATATGTGAAAATATCCACAGGGAGAACTAATCAGTTTCCATTCAGGTGTGGTAGTTCAAGCCTATAATCCCAGCACATTGGGAGCCTAGGGTAAAAAATAAAAAAAGAATTTATGGAGGATGTTTCAGTGATGAACACAACCTAAATGTCCATCATTTTGAATATAGATTTTAAAAATTAGGGTATGTATATAAAATGGAATATTATGCAGCCATTCAAAATTATAAGACACATATCTCTATGTATTGACATGGAAAGATGTTCATAACACTGCTGCTGGAAAAAAAAAAAAAACAGAAACATGATCGCTCATATAACATAAAATGTGGGGGCCAGGCGCGGTGGCTCATGCCTGTAATCCCAGCACTTTGGGAGGCCGAGGCTGGTAGATCATGAGGTCAGGAGATCAAGACCAGCCTGGCCAAGACGGTGAAACCCTGTCTCTACTAAAAATACAAAATTAGACGAGTGCAGTGGCAGGCGTCTGTAATCCCAGCTGGTCAGGAGGCTGAAGCAGGAGAACTGCTTGAACCAGGGCAGCAGAGGTTGCAGTGAGCCGAGATCATGCCACTGCACTCCAGCCTGGGCAATAGACTGAGACTCTGTCTCAAAAAAAAAAAAAAAAAAAAAAGTGTTGGTATCATATATACATAGGTGTTTAGAAGTTTATTCATCAAAATGTTTGCGTTACTTCTGAGTAGCAAAATTTGGGATTTCTCCCCACCTTGTCTTAATTTTTTTTTTTTTAGTAGAGACGAGGTTTCACCATGTTGACCAGGCTGGTCTCAAACTCCTGACCTCAATTGATCCACCCACCACAGCCTCCCTAAGTGCTGGGACTACAGTTGTGAGCCCCACCATGCCCGGCCTCTACTGTCAATTTTTTTAACACACATTATCATTTTTTACAATAAAATACTTCCTTTTTAAATTAAGATTATATAAAATAGGGATTACACTGAAGTCCTAATATTAAGAGACTTCTTGTTTTCCTTATCAAACATAAGAGTGAATAGAGCATTGTTACTATTGAGTATTAGTTCTCATTCAAGGAGGACATCAGCTCTAGGTCTTCCTTTCTAAACACATTTCCCACAAAGCAACAGGAAATACTCTGATGTCGTTTCTCAGACCAAGAGGACATGAGGAAAGAACAACAGCCTTTATAGTAAAATACTTGACGTTTCTAGCAACTTTATTTCAAATATAATGCAAATTTTTCCATGGGCATAAACCCAGTTCACAATGTCTCCAAGTTTTCAAAACATTAACAGAACTCTAACCAATGTATAGAAAGAGTGTAAACGGGCTTATTAATTCATTTATTCAATACACATTTGTGCTCCTCTCTATATGTCAGACACCAAGACTACAGAAAAGATTGAGTCATCTCCCTGAAATAATTCACAGTCTAGTCAAAGAAGAAAAAGAGAGAAGGAGTAGGAATGTCAACGTCCAAAGTGCAAAAACAGAGCACAAGCAACTTGGAGCTCACAGAAGGGGCAGTAATTATCAAACTTCAATGACTGTTTTTGAAGTCACCAAATGTAGCACTTGGAAAAATAGGGACGTAGGGTATTTGCCTATGCTTGTCAAGGCTTACAAAATGCCCGGTAAGGGCACGAAACTGATAAAAAGTTGATTGGAATTAAAACTGTCATTTTTTAAAATGTTAATAACGTTTTTGTCCTCTTAAACATAAAATGTTCCTCAATTTATAGTAATGCAATTCGATGTGAAAAAACAAGAATGAATGAATTTTTTAGGTTATGTCCAATAGCTAAGCAAATAGACACTCTGGCTTTCTGACACTAATTTCCAATTTCACCTAGTCCTGTTAAACTAAAATATGCAAATCTTAAACACGTTTTAAAACTGCACAAATAATCTGAACTAAGTCTCAAAACCTTTTGTAACCCACAACAAAATGAAAAGCCAAAACTCTTCCTAGATGTAAAACAGAAAACACAGTGTACGTTTATCCATGAAAACCCTAAGTTTACTACTTCCTCGTTAGAGAATTTCTCTTCCTGGTACAGGAGCAGGATGGTTATCAAATATACCATGTCCTCAAATTCTCAGTCCCTGAAACCAGCTACCGAGCCTCCAAAGAACCTGGCCCGGGGAGAAAAGCGAGGAGGTCAACTTACCCAAGCCTTTGCGCCTAGGTCTTACTGGGAAGGGCGGCACTGCCAGGACAAGACTGGGAGACTCCAGGCCGGTGGAGGGAAACGGCAACAGAGGTTTTCCACCGGGAATCAGGGGTGTGGGGCTCTGTCCCGTCACATACCCTGCGCCCCGGGGCAGGTCCGGGCCTCACAGGCGCCTCCCCTGGATCTCCGCAGCCCCGGGGCGCACGAAGACCCCCAGGGACCTCCGAAGGGTGGCGAGGTGGGCGTCCACCCACCGCAGTCTGACCCCACAGTCCCGGGGCGCCGCAGTGAGGCCTGGCCCACGGGCCGCCCTCTGGAGGAACCCACTCCTGGACACAAAGGGAGAAGGGCTCCCCGGCCTGTGGCGCCCTTCCCCCGACGGCGGCTGCACCCCGGGGGGAGCCCGGCGCTACTCCGGACGCCGCCGCGGCACCTCAAGTCTTCGCGGGTCGCCGACTGCCCAGACTCTCCACCTCCGGTTCTGTCCCTTTTGCCCGGGATAGAGCAATCACGTCCACTCGCTACCTCTTCTCCACCTCTGGACAGCTGAGCAATCAAATCCCGCCGGACCCACCCAGCCCGGACGGCGCGCGCCCGCTTATGCAAATAAACACACCCGAAGCCCCAAGGGGCGGCCGCCGGCGCCGCGCACTCCCGCCACGGCTCGTGCCCGCGCGCGTAGAAGTGCCCGCCTATCCCGCGGAGGGGGCTTGGCTTCGCCTCAGGGACTGGCCGCGTTCCCATCAAGGCCCGACTCGGGCGGGGCGGCGCGCCCGACGTGGCGCGCGCGACCCCTTTGTCCCGCCCCACCTCCTCGGGTCCCGTCGGCCTGAGCGCGCCCGGGAGTTTGAATTTCTTCGGATTTGGAGCAATATCGCAGTGGAAGGCGCTGTGGGGTGAGGTCGCCGCGCACCTCTCCTAGGGGAACTTTGGAGCTGGTAGCTGAAAGACTCAGTGAAGCAACGAGGATGGCGGGGAGAGGGAAGGGGCTGGGCTCTGGGCGGTGCCAAGTCTGTGAAGGGGCGCGGTCACCGCCCAGGGTTCCCGCGATCGCCAAGGCGGCCACGTCCTGCTACCCCTGGTGAAGAAGCTGCCCGGGGCTTCAACTTCCTAGGGCCTCCAGACATGTCTGAGGTGAAGAGCCGGAAGAAGTCGGGGCCCAAGGGAGCCCCCGCTGCGGAGTCCGGGAAGCGGAGTGAGGGCGGGAAGACCCCCGAGGACCGGGGCGGCGGAGGCGGGGGCTGGGCAGACCCCCGAACGGGCCTGAGCCTGCTGTCGCTGGGGACGTGCCTGGGCCTGGCCTGGTAAGTGGACGCGAGGCTGCCCGGGCCGGCCTCGTGTGGGCGCCCTGCTGTTTGTTCTCCCACCCGGCTCAGCATCCCGCCGGACGTGATCCAACCCCCCAGAGCTGGGCCTTCTGTGCCTCTGTCTTGACCCCAAAGAAAGGAAACAGCCCAGCCTTGTTTTTCCCTTTCGCGCGTATCTTATATCTCATTTTCCCCCGTACTGGTAGCATGCCTCTATCGCTCAGAGGGACTTGAGGCTAAAGTTTGGGAACGAGCCGCTTGTTAAGAGCTGCAGATTCGGCCACGCTTTCTGAAGCGCCCGCTTCACGTTAGAAGCGTTCACGTTGTTATAAACCGTTACTTCCTGTCCACTGTGCCCCAGTCCGGGACACATCTGCCCCACCCTACTCGCCCCATAAATGCCTAATGGAAATATTTGCAACCTTGAAATAGATCATTATGTTGGGAGACCGAGGCAGGTGGATCACTTGAAGTCAGGAGTTCGAGACTAGCCTGACCAACATGGCGAAACCCCATCTCTACCAAAAATACGAATAATCAGCCAGGCGTGGTGGTGGGCGCCTGTAGTCCCAGTTCCTCTGGAGGCCGAGGCAGGAGAATCGCTTGAACCCGGGAGGCGGAGGTTGCAGTGAGCCAAGATCACACCACTGCACTCCAGCCTGGGCGACCGAGTGAGACTCCGTCTAAAAAAAAAAAAAAAAAGGAAAGAATAAAAAGAAAAAGATCATTATGATCCCAAAGGAGCAAACGTTATAGTAGCAGAGCTTGGAGGAGTGCTCATATTTTGATCACCGTGCGTGCGTTATGAATTTAATTATTTTTATAATTTTATTAAGTTACAGATTGAACTTTAATATGGTAAAGCTACAAAACATAGCACTTGTGTTCACTTTAAACAGTTGCAGTTTTAAAACCAGGTAAATGGCAATATAATGGTGTCATTAGGAAAAATGAGTATTAGAAATAACCTTAAAACCAACTTGTAAGTTTTATTTTCCCAGTCTTCTTTTTTTTTTCTGGGGGTGAGGTGATAGCCCATTTCATTTTAGTAAGATTGGTACCTTAATAGAATTTTTCTCCGTTTTTCATTCGTTTGTAAAGTTAGTTAGTAAGACTGTTGTTAATATTCCAGAGTGATAGAATTTTAGAAGAGACCCTGAACATCTAAACATTTTTGATGCTATTACATGTGGAATTATACTTTACTGGTGACTCATCCCAAATAGTGTATTTTTCAGCGTTAAAAGATTTGTTACAGCTGGGTGCGGTGGCTCACACCTGTAATCCCAGCACTTTGGGAGGCTGAGGTGGGCGGATCACAAGGTCGGGAGTTCAAGACCAGCCTGGCCAACATGGTGAAACTCTATCACTACCAAAAATACAAAAATTAGCTGGGCCTGGTGGTGCACACCTGTAATCCCAGCTACTCGAAGGTTGAGGCAGGAGAATCGCCTGAACCTGGGAGGTGGAGGTTACAGTGAGCCAAGATCCACCACTGCACTCCAGCCTGGGTAACAGAGCGAGACTTTGCCTAAAGAAATAACATTTTTTGTTTTGGGAAAGTTAGTTACTATTCTGGGATAAGCTTTAGTAGAAAACTAAACTTTATGGGAATAAAATTACCCTCACATCAGGAATTTGCAGTTAGTGTATTACATTGTAATGAATGTAATACATTCATTAGGAAGATTTAATTTGAACTATGTTTGCAAAATGATAAAACAATGCTATATCAAAAATAATTTTGGGGGCCGGGCGCAGTGGTTCATGCCTATAATCCCAACACTTTGGGAGACTGAGGCAAGAGAATTGCTTGAGGCCAGGAGTTTGAAACCAGCCTGGGAAACATAGTGAAACCGTGGCTAAACATTAGCCAAGTGTGGTGGTATGCGCCTGTAGTCCCAACTACTTGGGAGGCTGAGGTGAGAAGATAGCTTGAGTCTGGGAAGTCGAGGCTGCAGTAACCCATGATTATACCATTGTGCTCCAGCCTGAGAGACAGAGCAAGACCCTGTCTCTCTAAAATATATGTATTATATGTATTTTTATGGGCAGATTCTATAATTATTATTTAAATAGTTGCCTCTTAGTTGCTCTTATTAAATCTTTTGCTGCAAAAATTGAAGCATATGTACTTTGGTTGCTGTTTATGGCAAAACATTTATTCATAGTAAATTTCGAAATAAAAATGTATCCCCATAAGCCATTTGTAAACATTTTCCAAATAAAAAGCAAGTATTTGGCATCTTAAAATACTTAAAAGCTCACTAGAATTTTGACAAAGCCATTGAGATCTTTACCACTATAAAACACATAATTCAGCATCTAAAAGTAGGTCCATCAAATCTTTATTAAATGCTTTCTGTACTGACACGGCCCTGGTGGTTAAAATACAAGTGCATATGTGTGCCTGTCTGTGTATTCTTAAATACTGCTTACTCTCAGTCTTCATCTTATTAAGTTGGAGGGAAAAAATCTGAACCCTTCCACTGCCCAAGGAGGATTTCAAGGAATTGTACTATATCATTGTCTTCAGACCATTTCCTATTTGGAAAGAAAAGAGAAATAAAACATAAGAAACTTAAAAGTGTGTGCTTTAATATCTTCTCTCTGCTAAAAAAAGGCCTGATAGGCCAGGTGCGGTGGCTCCCACCTGTAATCCCAGCACTTTTGGAGGCCGAGGTGGGCGGATCTCTTGAGCTTAGGAGTTCAAGACCAGCCTGGGCAACATGGTGAAACCCTGTCTCTACAAAAAAATACAAAAAAATTAGCCAGGCATGGTGTCGCATGCCTGTAGTCCCAGCTACTTGCGGGGCTGAGGTGGGAGGATCGCTTGAGCCCTGGAATTTGAGATTTTAGTGAGCTTTGATCGCACTACTGCACTCAGCCTGGGTGACAAAGTGAGACCCTGCAAAGAAAACCAAAAAAAAAGCCTGATATATCCTCTGTCATCTTGACAATAAACACTGGAGATAAGTTGCCCAAACCTGTATGGCTTGAGTGTCAGTTTGCATACCTCTCTTCTAAATTCTGATGGAAAATTTTCAGATAAGAGAATTGAGGTGATTCTACTTTCAGAAAGTTAAAAAGTTGTTAAATTACTAAACAAGACACAATCTCTCACGCATGCTTATTTAATTACATAGAAATTTAATCAGCTGGAAATTCCATTGTGAAAATTTTGTTTCTTAAGGAAATTTCAATAGCTTTTTTAATTGCTTTTTTGTTGTTTTTTTGTTTTGTTTTAAGAGATGGAGTTTCGCTCTTGTTGCCCAGGCTGGAGTACAGTGGTGCAATCTCGGCTCACCACAACCTCCGCAAGCGATTCTCCTGCCTCAGCCTCCCGAGTAGCTGGGATTACAGGTGTGCGCCACCACACCCAGCTAATTTTGTATTTTTAGTAGCGACAGGGTTTGTCCATTGGTCAAGCTGGTCTCGAACTCCCAACCTCAGGTGATCCGACTGCCTCAGCCTCCCAAAGTGCTGGGATTACAGGCGTGAGCCACCATGCCTGGCCTAAATTGCTTTTATAAAAGTTTTTTATAGTAGCTGTTATGTACAAAAAGTCAAAAGCGCTTAAAACAAGTTGTATAATTTTTTTTTTTTTTACTATCCAATATAATTTTGTCTATAAATCATACTGGAAAACCTTGGCTAACTCCAACTTTTTTCTTTGTGTTAGTAGAGTTTTATCTAAAAGACCAGGGTATACTTTAGATGTCCTGCTTCTTAAAAATGGAATATGGTCAAGGTTTTCTTGAAAACTAGGTATTGTGCTAA